GGAATATTAGAGCTGTCTCAGGTCAATGGTGTAGTTTAGGCAGCAGCGTTCCTGATCTGTGATTTTGCTGATGATTTTTTTTATTGGCTTTTTCCCTTTTTTTTATCTGAATCTTTTATTGTCACCTTTTCATCACTTCTACTCCCAACTCTGCCAAGTGAACCTAAGCTAAACAGTAGAAATCTTTCTTCTCTTGCAGCCTTTTTTTTAAGGGCTCCACAGACCATTTTTGTGAAAAACACAGTTGTACATCTGTCTCTTTTATGTAAATACACATATAGATATATCTTCTTAGTTGTGGCCTACATCTTATCTTTTACTGAAGCAATAAAAGACTCCATTTTGAAACAGGGTATGGTGGCTACTGAGTTGTGTGCAGACCAGTTCTTATGTTTTTTTCCCCTCACTTCAGGTTGTATGAACAGCAGAAGGAGATGGATATTCTTGTAATGTATGGTACTGTAGACAGTGAAGGAGATAAAAAACAATATTTAGAGAGAGGTTCACCTCTTCTGTAAATAAACCCAACAACAAAAAAACCCCATCATGCTTGTGATAGGGCATTTAACTTGTGTAGGTGGAGCAACTCTCAGGTAAATGTCAGGACTCTCGGTTTTGGTTCCTGCATAGGGCCTGATGGTTGAAGCATTAATCAGCCCCCCCCCCCCCCCCCCCCCCCCCCGAAATGTGTGGCTGGTGCCCACGTTTGCACACTGCAGGCTTTTATGTCCCAAAGAGCTCTGCAAAGAGGCACACACCCACCGCTGCTCTGTTTGGTAGCTGGCACAACCACAGCCGTGCCCCTCCAGAGCTGGTCTGGCAGGACAGACCCCAGGAGAACACAGGGATCAATCACCCTTTGTCAACCAGAGGTGCCCTGTGGGTGTGCTGCATGCAGGATTTCCAGCTGCTCATTGCATCCTCTCTTAACCCAGCAAAACACTCAGTGTAGGCTAAATTTCTTGGCCGGTGGTTCCTGTGCTGTCCCTGTGCGTGCTCACCGGAGCTGCCGTGAGCTCTGCTGCAGCAGTGAATGGGCCAGTTCCAGTGATTGTGTTCATCTTCGTGTCTAATTGCCAGAAATGTCAAGGATTTCATGCTATAGGGATGAATCCAGACCTCTCTTCCAGAGTTCCCTGCAAACAGTGTCTTTGTGCCTTTGACAGGCCCACTGGGCGTGTTTGGGGACAATGGTACCCTCCTGAACTTCTGTTTCCCATGTATGTTCATAAACATTGGTGGATTTGGCAGTAGTGTTTGTCAATTTTTGTAAACATCGGGGTGGAGGAAAAGTTTGATCTCTTTCTCTGTAGACATGTAGTAGAAAATAAAAAACAATTTCCCCTTATTGTAGTCAAATGGCAAAGGCAGTAAAACACGGCAAACCAAGCCCTCCCTGCCCTGTTTATATAGCATGAATATGTGTAAAACACTTTCAGTGTTGCTGCATTGGTCAACAGCACTTAGGAATACACACATTACTTGATTATGGCTCACTTGATGCAACAAGTTTAAAAAAAATCACGTAGAGAATTCCTAGGCTTTTCAGAAAAAGACAGCAGGTAGTAAGTGACGTAATTGATGTCTTGGTACCAACACTGAGATGCTTTTTGTGAGAGTGGATTAGCATCAGTGCTGAGCCTTGTAAGCATTTCAGTTTTACCTGCAGAGGGGCAGTTCACTGAAGTGCTTGCAGGATCAGGAGCTGCACTGGCTTGCGGGTTTGTTCACTGGGTGTTTGTTTGCCTGAGCTTCGCTTTCTTTTTCCCCCCTCTATGGATGGAGTGATGCTTTGTCATCAGTAACACCCAGGTAGAGCCGCAGCATCCAGCTGCACGTGTGTGTGCAGGGAGAGGCAGGACAGCTCTCCACCAGGCAGCGTTTCTGCGGGAAGGCTTTCTCCTGTTGGGATGTCATTGCTTGCTGGAGGGACTGTGCACCTACCCCTCCAAAAACGCCAAGAAACTGTGCACTCACCCTTCCTTGAAGCCCCCTCGGTCAGCTGCAGGCTGGGGCTGCAGCACGCTGGAGCAGAGCTGCTCTGACATCATCTGCCTGCCCTAAAAGCTGCCACCGCCTCTGGATCTTTTGATCCTTACGTGCTGGGCATGCATTCGGTGGGACAAAACTGAAAAGTCTGGAAAATTGCTTGTTTTGAAATGGTGACAGTAACTTCATTTTAGGGATGTTTTTAATCTTGAGCTGTACAAATAAATAAAATTAGTATTTTCAGCTGAATCAGTAAAAAAAAAAAATCCTTCAAGAATTTAGGGCTGCCTTCTAATGGCAAAAAACCTGAGGCATTGGTTGGGGAAAAAAAATCTCCAATCCTAGTAGATTGGAAGAGGATAGTATACTGCTGTGGTCAGTAGAGACAGTGATATTTTTGGTTTCTTTTTCTGTTTGTAGACTCAGAAGAATTAAGAGGATTCCTCTTTTTTTGTCATTAAGATGTCAACAACAACAACAGCAGTGATTAGCTGCTGATTTTTCTTTCTGCTGCTCTGTGGGCTTGAAAGCTGGCTTTTTGGGTGCTTTTTGCTCTTACCTGCTACCATTTAGATCTTCTAACTCTTTCTGCCCCCTCATAATTTTTCTTTACAGATAAAAATCTTGTGGGCTGTTTTTATTGCTAACTTGCTCGTTTTTTTATGTTCCTTTCTGTCTCTGAGTGTATTGAACACAAAAAAATGCAAATTTATTGTAATTCCTCCCCAAGCCCACAGTTTACTCATGGAAATTAAGTTGATACCTTGAAGTATCTAAGGGATGTAAAAGTGAACCAATTTAATAGCAAAGCTGTTTCATAATCCATATAAATGCATGTTTTAGAGAACTCTTTTGTGACTTATGCAGATGTAGGCTTTTAAATATTCTAAAACTTGGTTTATCTATCCTTTTCTCTAATATTTCTTTTCTCTTTTTAATAGGTCATCACACAACGAACTAGAAAAACATAGGTAAGTCTTGAAAAAAAAACTAATTAAAAGATGTATGGTTGACATTCAGGTTACCATGTTTTTTGAAGGATATTTTGCTGAAATTGTTTTGATTCAGCACTGAGTAGGTTATTAAGTTGTTTTGGATTCTTTTATCAACTAAAATCTGATAGGTATAGTATTATTTGGCTTTTTTTTTCCTGTTTGGTGTGCTCTTCTTGAAACACCCCTGATAATTAGCTTTGGACTGATTAATGCTGTAACTGGATAACCGAATTGCTACTAACAAAGAATCTGATTGCAGCAACTGTTTGCTAGAGGTGTTAAATGCTATAAGTACAAAGTATTTTGTGACTAAGGTGAATGATTTTCGGGAACAATGTGTCACACAGGGTTATTCTATGTTTGTTTTTTTTTTAAAGTATGCCTAAAGTGCAGTTAATTTTCATCTTGCATGTAAGTACCTACAGATATGTTTTTCCCCTCCGTCTGCTTCCTTGCTGGTGCGTGTCCTGTCCGGAGAGCTGTGTGTGATAGAAATGGGCACCTCCTGAGCTGCAGCCCTGGTCTGGTGTATCCAGCGCTGGGAAAATCTGGACTTATCCGGGACAGACATTAGACCCTGCAGACCTGAGATGTATAGAACTCAGGTTTTGGAGGCAGTGTTCCCTGTCCATTGTATCATGTCAGAGTTTGTTTGCAGATGGGCCTTTGAGCTGTTTGAAGTCTCTGGGGCGCACACAGAGAGCTCTGAGAGCAAACAGTGCCTGTCTTGGCTCTGCCTTTCGGTTCCCTCACTGCAGGATTGCTGCCTTTCACTTACCGTTCAGGCAGCAGGGTAAACTCTCCTTCGGGTAGTTTTCTGTTCATTTTGTGTAGCTTGTGGTCTTTCGGGTTTCGTGCATCCAGAGAAAGCAAGGGTGGTGTGTGTGAATATGATTTAAACTATTTGCATGCATCTAAATACGTGAAACGTGGTTGATGGCACAACAAGATTGGACTCGTGGGGGGTTTTTCGTGTCTTGTTCTGTGGCTGCAGTTATGTAGCAGCTAGACCATCACTTCCCTTGCATGCTTACATGCTTTCCTGTAGTTTAATTGTAATATGAGTAAACTGTAGCTCTGCCTAATAGCCACGTGGTCATCCTAGAGATGAGAGGAACTGGAGAAGGCTCAAGCTCACAAACACAGACCTCAGCTGTAGAATGCAGTGCATTGGCTAAGGCAATGACATCAACTGGCAGAAGTTCTGCTGATAGAGTCTTCAGGAAAATAGCTGCATGTAAAATTCTGTCCTTTGGTCTCACTTCTTTAAAATAATAATAAAAAAATCATCGGCCCCAACTGTGATTCTTTCTCACTCTCATTTTTTTCCATCCTCATTTTAGATACTCTGTTCCATTTCTTCCTTCCCCCCTGCTCCATATTACTGACTTGTCATCTAAACTCCATATTCTCTTTTTTTTTCTTCAGTCATTTTTATAACCCAAACATGGAGTTGCCTCTTCTTCCCTCTGCTCTGCCTTAATGTGTTTAAGCAGCACAGTAAATAAGGCACAGCAGCATTAGCAGCAGATGCAGGGCCAGAAGGAGAATCTATTAATTGTTCAATCGCTGTTCTCACTTTCAGTTCTGTGTTGTATCTTTGTAGTAGTTGGACCATATAGTATTTTCCTTGCTACCTTTTCTCTCTGCCATCTCAAGGTCAAAATAGGTAAACTGCACAGTATGTCGTGTGATTATACAACTGATGTTTGTAACTGCTGCTGCTTGCTGTGCCTCCTGCAGTTAGACTATACTTGAAGCCAGATTTTTATTATTCCTGGTGAGAACCTGCAAATTAGTGCGAGATCCTTGTTTGTGCAAATGGGTGTTCGTAAAAGCAAATGAGATGTGTACAGTTCTAGTTGCCTGATGTATTGGCGTGAAGGACTCCTGCAATTTTTATTTCCCTTTTTTTTAACAACCCCCTCCTCCAGCGCTGTGGGTGTATGAGCAGATAATAACCGATCATAGTGTTTTTCACGGTGTTTCACTAAAATTACATTAAAATCTATCAAGTGTCTTGCAAAGTTTAATGAAAGACTCACAGCCGTAGTGTGTCCCTGTAGCAGCTGGTCCTTTCGGCGGAGCCTGTCCTCCTTCCCCAGCACAGCCCTGCCCTGTCAGCTGGGAAGCACTGGATGTTGATTTTGGAGGTGTATCCTTTCCAGGACCAGTGCCTTTGACTCACCACTGCCGTGATGCTTCTCTGGCGAGACACACTGGGTTATCTCACAGGAGCCTGTCGAGGAGGAGCGGAGAAGATGGCCGTGCTCATCCTCCTCCTTACCCAGTCCCTCCCGTGGTGTCTGTGGGCTGGACTCGGTGCTGGAGGGCAGGGAAATGGCTTCCTCATTTACAGGGCCGTTGTGTCCTGCATGAGGATGGCCAGAGCTGCCACTGACTGGAAAGCCATGGTAGCCTTGTACTGTGTGTGGTGCTGTTGCAGGTTCTGCACTGGCGTTGCACATCAGAGGTTTTACCGGTGGATTTGACGTCGGTGGGAATGGCAGTGGTTGTTGATCTCTGCGTGTGCCGGCTTGGCCGTTCTCTGTGTGTTTTTGAAGAGATGCTCAGAGGAAGACAAATGGAAGTAGAGACATAATTCCAAGAAAAAAATCTTGTTATATGTTAGAATTCAGATTACAATTATGGTAAAGTGTTTGTCAGCAATACATCCTTTTTTTCTGCTTTAAGTCTCCCTAAAATACCCTGCTCAGAAATTCAGTGTGTGCTCCTTATAGTGAAACACTGTAAGGATTTACCCTCTAATGGCAGTCTTATTTTGGTCCTGTGTGATCAACATTTACATCTTGGAGCCATGAAACAGGAATCCCCTTAAATAAAAAGTAGAAAGGCAGGAAATCTTCTATCCTAAGGACAGATGAGGTCCTAGGAGATATTTTAATAATTACAGACAGGTTACAGTGGCACTTGGATGTAACTAGTTGCTAATGACAAATATATACATGTATATTCATTTATATATTTTTTGTTGTTTCCAGCCAGGCCATTATGTCTGTAGGCTTTCACAGAGCAATGTAAACTGTAAGTAAATTAGTAGTCAGACTTATTGCAAGGAAATTTTTAAATTGACCTGACCTGACAATTGTATAAAGGAATTCAGCTTTCATAGTGTAAAAAACCCGCAAGAATTCGTGAAAGCCATAAGCTTCTTAAAAAGACACAGCATAATCTCATTTATTTGCATCACTTTATACTAGTTCTACATTAGAAGGTAAAAGCCAAGGTGTATCCCCCTGAAGACTGTGCTGAGATCTCCACAATGCTCTGCCCTCAGCTGTTCACATCTGGACTTGTCCCCCCCAGCTCGTGCAAGCCCATGGGAGGGAGAAGGAGCAGCACCTCCCCGTCGTGGTCCATCCTTTTTTGTTGGAAGCAGATGGAGCCCTGACAAAGGATACTGGGATCAACCCATCAGAGTTATTCAATCCTGCCTGGTCATGAGGAGCTCTGCTGCAGGAGGAATGCAAGAATTCTTGCCCTTTCCCTGGCAAAGTCTTTGAAAACAGCTTGTGAAACTTGATGATTTTAAAGAACAGCTTTTAAGAATTAGTGAGGAAATGAATAAAAACGTGCCTTGAAATTGGCAAGCCACGTGCTGATGTCCCCAAACTGGCACCACGTGAGCTGAACAAGTGCTGTCTGACCCTGGGATGGCTGGATCTAGGGCCCAGGTCCCCAGGCTTAGGTTTGACAAAAGCTGACAAGCTGAGCCCTATGGAGGTAAAAGCCAGGCATTGCTGTTGGCAGAGGTGTACTCTAGAGGCATTTCCCTGCTTTCCTGTGGAAGGTGCTCCAAGAAGTGGAAGTGCATAAGTGTTTAGCTCCATCACTGGGTATCAGGTGGGACAGGGAGCAGTTCCCTCTTGTTCAGGGCTCACTAGTTTATAGTGCAGAAAGCTGAGACTGCTGTGGAGGTGGCCTGCATCAGTTGAGGGAAACAGCCCTGAATTTTTAGATGTGCAAGACTAGGATGGGGAATACATGAAACAATGTGATTTGCAAAACCTTACAGAAGAAAAGAAAAATGCTTGCTTTCTTCCCAAAGGAGCCTAATGTATGCATTGATTAGAGTGCTGATCAGGGGGAGACTGAAAATGTTGCCATGTGCAGAGAAGGTAATGCCGACCTGAGGTTTGGGTAGTGCTATGTGTAGTCCTAAAACGTAGAATCTTGCCAGAAAAAGCTTTTTCTACTACATCATCATGTGTATGAAATGGATATCTGTATATAAACATAGGTTTTGATGAGCAGTATATATTTTGATGAGAGCCTTACAATGTGCAACATTAGCTGATACAGTAAATAGAACAGGTGCCTCTGAAGTTAAGTTCTAATAGGTAGTTTTCTCATGAAGGAAGTGCAAGTGCAGGAGCACAGTTACATTCAATTTCACCCACCAGAGTTACTTCGAGTTTAAAGTTTACATAAGCTGAGAGTATGTCTTGAAATTCTCTCTGTGGTGCTTCGTGCTAGTAAACTGCAGAGTTAATGAAAAACATGTAATTGGCAGTTGCTGATAAACCTGGAAGTTTGGAAACAGAACCGAAAGGTCACTGAAATAATAGCATACCAAAACAATACTTAATGTTTATTTTTGTTATGGGCTGCCTTTTCAAAATCATAAATTACCATTGTGGTCAGCACGGTTATGCAGCATAAAGATGTAACTGCATTGATCCGTCACTCTGAATGGCTGTGGTGCCACCACTAACTGAGGAGACCCCCAAACTGGTGGTGGAGGTAAAGTCCTTCCAGGGAAGGATCACCCAGTATGTGTCTCACTGCTGTGCTTCCATCGTGAGTTTAACTCTGGTCACACACTGGTGCTGCTGGGCCCTGCTTCCTGCCGGCACAGCAGGAGGGGAGAAGCTTCCTGACCCAGCTCACTGTCAGAGGCACACCCTGATGCCAGCACAGGGAGAGGGTGGGATGGCTTCTTTGAGTTACAGTACAGAGCAGTTACAGTTCACTTCTCTGTCAGTTTAATGTTTCTCCTAAGCATCCAGTTCTGGCTGCTGTTGCCTGGAGTGCTGTGCTGGATGGGTCTTACTGACCTGGGACAGATCTCATTGTTATAATGGGTCTATAAAAACTGCCATTTCTAGGATGTGTCCAGATTATATCTAAACCATCCAGATAATGTGGCTGCTACATTATTGGTGGGAACCATGTCGTCTTACTGGCTGAACTTAACCTCCCTACTAGATCTGTTCTGGTTTTCTCATCGAGTAAGATGAGAACTTTTTTACACCATCTCATTGGTGTGAAATGGTTTATTACAATTCCATTGAATTGCAATAAACATACCTTTGCACTGCTTTATCGAGGTAGTGTCTTAGGAGCATGACTTGCCTTTTGTGATCTGAAGGCCACCATGGTTTGGGCACCAACTCCTCCTGCCCAGCTATGGCTGCTTCTCTGAGGGTGCCAGCTGTAGTGGGCAGATGAATGGTATTGACTCAGCCAGTGCAAGCCTGAATCTCAGCTTAAACCCCCTTTTACCTGTAATTTAATCTGAGGCATTTGTGTCTTAAATTTCTGTTGTGTTTTTTTTTTTTTTTTTTTTTGGAAGAGCTTGTTTAGCGAAGTCTATAAAAAACTGGACCCGCAGAACTGAAGATTTAATTCTGTGCTTTTGCTGAAATGTCCCATGTTTCTGGGTCTGACTGATCTATGGAATTAAAGAAATTGAAAGGTTTAAAACTTTGCATTGAAATGCTGTTCTTTCCTCACCATTTCCCCATTTCTAGAGAATCAGCAAGTGTCTGGACCTGTGGCTTTTCCTGCACTACCTGCTGCAATAACTACTATAAATACTTCTGCACTGAACTGCTGTCTTTCCAGTGCACATAGCAACTCACCTCATTATGCACTCCCAACAATAGTATCTTCCCACCTAGACTGCTGGTTTGGAAAGGAGGGGTATATTAAGCAGATGAAGCTTGGAAGTTAATCTGCTCAGGAAGTTATATTCCAGGTGTCAGAGATGTGCACATCCTCATGCTTTGGATAAAGCTTCTATTTGGCAGTGCAAAATGGGACCAAAATAATACAGCCTTGACTCAATTGTAATGTCCTTTTTCCTGCTGAAGTTGGCTTTGAACTGTGGAGCCCAAGTGCAGTCCTGGGTCTGGGCTCCAGAAAGCTGTGTGCTTCCTGGCCAGCCCAGCAGCCAGCAGAGAGCAGATGGGCGAGGAACCAAGTGCATGCGTTTTTTTCCACTTGAATTTGTTCATGCCTCTCTCCAAACATAAGTCCACAGTGTGTCAGCCTCTAATGGACTATGTGAAAGGTGGTTTATGTTTTCAGCATCTGCTAATTGACCTGGCCAGTTCTTACCCAGCATGGTAGAGAGAGTGGGCTGGTCTCATATGAAGAGGAGATGGGTGGGCCGGAATTCCAGCTGCTTTCAGGATTCCACAGACAACAGCGAGGTGCTGATTCCCTGCAAATAAGGGAAGAGAAGCCTGATGGTGACTGCTGTCTTGATTGGAGGAGAAAAAAAATTTGTTGAATTAGGTATTAAAAAAAATTATTTTTTTTTTTAAGCTTGCTCAGCTACATTTGGGCAAGTGAGCTGGAACTTGATTTTTTTTGTAAAGGTATTTAGGCAGCTAATGGGCTTTAAGAAGTTGGCCTCTCAAATGAGTCTTACGTAATGCCATGGGAATCTTTGGCTGCATCCCAACCGGTCAAGTCTGTGGAAGCCCACAGACCAAAACTGGGTATACGGAAGTGGCACCTGCTGTGGTTTGAGGAAGTGGCAAATGCACCTGCAAGCCAGCAGTGCAGCTCCAGCTCTTTACGGCAAGGTTGGCTCTGCACTCAGGATTTACACCAAATCTGCAGGAGGCTGGATTACTTTCTTCCAAGTATGTCATGAGCAGTGATGTCACAGTGTCCCTGGCTGGAGCAGACAAAAAGGGATCAACCTAAGCTGGAGGAAGTGGCTGTATTCTGTGGGTTGGTTGTCCTGTCTCTTCCTCTCCCTGCCTCCATGCTGCATTGGCATCTCTAGCTCTATTTTTAGCACTCCTTTCCCTGGAGGGCCTATGCTGTTTGAGTATTGGATATGCCATGGCCTGGTCCCAAATTCAAAATGTCTCTTTCTGGATGGAACAGTGTGTACTTCCCTGTTGCAGCTCATGCCCCTTTCCTCTCATGGTCTCTGTCAGCAGACACTTGTGCTTAGATTTACCGCACAGAATTCCTTTGCAGGTCAAGTAGTTTTTAATCTGTGTTTTTTCCCCTTGGTACACATGATGGTTTAACATGTGGCAGGCTGTGGGCCTGACTCTGCCTCACACCCAGGGGATTTCAGTAGGAGCTGTGCCTGCAGCCTGAACCCTACATCACATCCGGGCAGCTGCAGAGGATGCAGTCAAGGTTCCAGAAAGTTACTGAGCATGAACATTTAGCCAGCAGATCATATATGTGAAAAAGCATAATGCTGTTCCTTCACAGAAGTTTAATTTGAGCCTTTTTTTGGAAAAACAAAATAAACCCATCCCCCCTGCCACCTCCATGCACGGGATCCAGTTAAAACTGACTGTTCTTGTCCTAAAGAACTGTGCAAACTACAAGAATGGATAAGATACTCCTTCTATCTGCCCCTCCCTATTTTTGGAAGGAGAGAGTTGTTTTGGGACTTCATAGAGTGCTGTGTTTTGAGATGGAAATGCATATGCCGAGCTATGTACACACCCTGCTAAACTAGAGCAGGGTGACAGGACTTGTCAAAGGATGTCAAGTGGCTAAAATGATTGTTTAATTCTAGTTTATGTTGTACAATTTTTTTTCTATACAGATTAGTGTAACTAACTGTGTAGTGTGTGGAGGTTGGCACAGCTGACACAGAATAGATGTGGGCTTGGATGTAGGTACATGAGGTCACATCGCAATGCTTCTGACTTGAACAACTAACAACTCTAGTTACAGGCTACATGCCCTACATTAAGCAAGCCTATATTAGATTCTACCTTATAGTGAGAAAGCAGAAGATTTGAGTAACAGTCAAAGACTACATCTGACCATGGTAAAACGTTTCTAAAAAGCTGGAGGACTAGTGGTGAGTCCTCTTTTCCCAAATGCCGCCTTGGGATTAATGCCTGACAAATTTATCTGCTTTTCTTTCCTTGATGGTTCAATTTAGGCAAGTAAGTGAAGATACAAGGTGCTAAGTAAGGGACCTGCCTGGCATGTAATTGCTGCCAGGACTCAGCAGCTCCTATTGAAGTGAGGAATACCATCACTGTTTGCAAATACCGGCTGCACAGACACTCTGTGTCTTACATAGCACATTAGCTGGTATTTACAAAACATAAAGGTAGCAAACCCTGTAATTCCCCCAAGAAAGCTGACTTAATCCCGATTGGTAGGTGTTGTTGTGTTGACTGCTGCAATGAACAGCATGGGTGGAGCAAGTAATTTCTGCTAGGGAAATTTGGGAGCTTGTTGTGTGTGTTTGGCTAGAAGCAGTTATTGGGTGTAGGTGCTAAGAGGTGTTTAAAATAGACTGCTGGGTGCCTTGGTTCCCACTGCCTGACTTTACATACTCACATGACGAGTGGGTCCAAACTTCCGGCTCTTTCTTCCATTGCCAGATAGTCTCAGGACACTGCACTTAAGAAATCTGGGCTGAGTTTTGTGGGAAAGAAGAAGGAGGAAAGGGAGAAGAGTTTTGAAAAGCTGTTCCATACCTTAGCATCCCCAAATGGATCATTTTCAGATTCTAATCAACTGCACCCTGTCTGACTCGGGGACCACCAGCTTTGTACAGTTCAGTGGAAAGGGAAATAGGATGGAAATTAAATTATAAACAAGGCACTATCTGTGCTGTGGCAAGCTATATCTAAACTTTGGGGCAGGACTGTCAGATATCTGCAAGTGACCACTGTCCCATGATGCTGTATTTTGTTGCTCTTTGGCAGGGGGAAGTAAATGTTGCTCATCTTTCAATTCATCTGAAAGTAAGAATACCCATTGCAGTCTTGGAAGAGACCATCTTTAATTACAGTCAGTGCATTTAATCCTTCCCCTAAATTTGTTTATATATACACCTCACTGTCTTCTATTCATCTCTAATTACAAGGTTTAGATGAGGGAGTTGGAGACATACAGCAAGACATTTGGGGACATGTATTATTAATTACTTCAGTGTGATTGCTTTTCTTCTCTTCATTTGGCATTCTCACTTGGGGTCTGAACCAGCCTTCAGTTGGCTGGAACAGTCACCCTGCTGTTGTCTCAGGGCACCTCAACTGTTTTGCTGGAGCACATCTCCAGTATCTACATTTGTAAAAGACAGCAGTGCCCAACCATCTCCTTCCTCCCCAAAAGCCACTAAACTTCACTTGTGTGTGCTCAAGCTGCCATCATTAGCTGCTCTCTCTAAGATGGCCACAAAGCTTTGGTGGGCACATGTACTGAGGAAGTAATAGCAAAAGCAAAAATGGAAGTAACACACAGCGCTGAATATCTCTTTTTGATAGTTTCCTGCTCAGAGCTTAAAACTTCCTACCTCTGAGAATGAGAAAGTGATTGTTTAGGTGCTGGAGAGAGTTGCCTTAACTCTGATTAGGTTTTAAAACAGTGGTGTAAATTGCTGTTGTTTCTTTTGCAGCCTCGTGCACACGGAAATGTGGAGTCCCTACAGCATTTGTCAGGCTAGTTAAATTGGATGCTTGTATTTACTTGGTATTTGGATATGGGGGTACAACAGACAATAAAACCACAGTCACAGGTATCCAGTGTTGCAGATATTAGTGCTTCACACTCGTTTAACTTGATGCAGGAAAAGGTTGCTTAATTCTGGCTGTCTGCAATCCCAAGGCCTTGTGCTCAGTGTGTGACAGCAATGCATGTTTTTAATTTAGCTAAAATAATTCAACTTGACTTGCCTCTCCTTTAATTTGGCATCATACAGTGGTGGTGTAAGAAAAAATATCTTGAACACATTTCTCCCCTCATTTGACATACGTATAAAATAACCAGGTCTATAGGGAGGCTTAAAATTAGGCAGAAAAAAGCTCACTAGGCCCAGTACTGTGCTCTCTTGGCTTAGTGCTGTGCTGCAGCTCAACTTCTCTAGGCTTATTTAAGCATTGTAGTCTCTCTCCCCCCTCCTTTTTTTTTTTAAGATCCTTCCTGTTGGCAGCTGTCCTGAGACACGATGTTCTTGCTTAGCATTTTGATGTGGGGAAACAGTTCTGATAATTAAAGCCGGTTTCAAGCCATGAGCTGATTTGTAAGCAGTGACTTGCTCTGGGGTGTTGTCAGTCGATAAAACGTGTAGCTTGTGTGTATAGAGCCAGTCTACACCTTGTGCCTTAAACTCCATGTGAGAGGGACAGACACGCTCTCAGGAGCCGCTTCTGGATGAGACAGACTGCATCCTCTTCAACCACCTGTTGGTGAATGGTTAATTTGTGGAAAATTATCATTATCATCCTTTTCCCCTCTGTGTGTTAACCTGGTGCAAACCTGTTGTTGTTACGCAGCTTTTCCTTGTTTAAATAAATGCAGTTCTCTTTGACCCACTCTGCAGTCCTCAACAAATTCCTTGCAAGAGTACTGTGAAAGGTGGCAAATGCAAACACACCTGTAGCAGAACTGCAGACCCACAGTGTGGGTTTGGATGTGCTGTGGAAATTTGCTTTGTGGTGTTCCACTGCCAGCAAGGGCCAAAGCGTTACTGCTCTCATGTAAATGGTTGCAAGTCCTAATCCACTCTTGGGGTTTCTGTGGGCAGCGGGTGTAAGTACGTGTGTGCCTCCATGTAACTTCAAGTGGGAATTAGAACTGCTTGATCCTGTAGTGGCATGATCTTGTGATGGCACTTTCCTTATCTAATTGGGTCTGACACTATTCTGAGGTAGCAGACAAACTTGAGTCTCCCTGCAGTGTAATCTAAGAAACTTGAGTGCCAGTAAGACAGATGGGTTTGAGAGGTCTAATTTAGGAGGACTACTAAATTGCAGTGTGTGCATTTCAATGTGCGAAACAAATGGGCTGGCTGAATGAAGTATTAAATAAGTTTATTAAAAGCATGGCTGATTAGTTTTTTGTGGACTCTGTTTTCAGTGTGTACAAAGGTATTTCCATCACTTGTGTATTTCCCCACAAGGCACTGTTGTTCATCTGCCTGGATTAGGTAGGTACTGTGTGACACTGAGCTCGTGGTACTAGGTGACACCTCCCTCACTGTTGCTTAAAAGCATTTGAGAGGTAAATGTTAAAGGCAGTCATTAGGTAACGGGGCCAAAAATAGAAGACACCTGAAAAAGAAATTCCTTTTCTGTAGCTCTAAGAATTGTTCGTATTTGCCTGACATTGACTTTGAAGGTTTAAAATACAGAAAATTGTTCTTTATGGATGAGCACAACCTAAAGGCTGAAATGCTAAAATATAGGTTGGAATCTCTTTTTTTTTTTTCTTTGCAGAAGAGAAATTCACACAAGGGCAAAAACATACTGCAGTGGGTTTTAGCTGTTTCCATAATGTTTGATTTCTGCTGCCTCAGATTCTTGCAAGGTCAGATATTTTATTGCCTGTGGTTGAAGGATGTAGAATCTCATACATGTAAATTTGTGATGGTCACCATCCAGGAAAGACAAATTATATCCAGCTGCTGTAAGTTTTGCTTATGATGCTTTTGGGAATCTTTGTATAGCTTGTAAATTCCTGTTGACATTTCCCATGAAGCACATCTCAAATTTCTTCAAGTTGCTTTTAGTTATCACCGAGACCCAGGACAAGGAAGGGCTTTTAAACCCTTCATGGCTGCTCTTCAAATAAGAGCAGCTTAAGACAGTAGGATGGCTGAAGCCTGGGGCAAGCTGTGAGGACAAGCCTGGCTGCAGGGAGGAGTCTGTTAAAAAACAAGGAGAGAAGATTAGAGTGGTCAGATGTTGGTCCTGCAGCTCTTAATACTGCAGAGCCTGAGGCTATGGTTTCCCAGTGGGTAAACCAGATACCAGTCAGAGCTGCTGGTGCTCCACCTGCCCCAGAGTCCTTGCTGACATGGGCCTGCCTGTGCCCTGCCTTGTCCAAGTGCTCCTCTGAGTGCCTCCTGTGTTGCTGGGTTGGTCTGTGGGCAGTTTAGCTCTGTGGGTGAGTGTGCCCTGTGCTGTGACACATCTCTGTCACACCTCACACACCTCTGACAGCTCGTGCTCGCTCTGCCACAGCAGGAGAGCTCAAGTGGGAGAAGGTTGAGGAACAATACAGCAACAGGCACTAACTGTGCCACAGGGCTTTTATTCCTTCTGCTGGCCTAAGTCAGATGTGACTCTGGGACCCTCATCAGTCTGTCTGCTTCTGCTGTCAGTGCACTCCTGAAGGGACAGCACTGGGCAGTCTGACCAGCACCAGCTGCTGAGGCTCTGGTCAGGTCTCTCATGCTAGTGTTGTCTGTGTTGCTTTACAGGGTCATTCCAGCCCAAAGCAAGCCTCAGGAGCTGCTGTCATTTCCTCATCTTTGCTGCTGTCCCTGCCTTATGGCAGTACACAGGCCACCACAGCTCACCTTCCGGTGGGAACTGGAGCATAAAGTGCATCGAAGTCTGCTTTGGGCATTTTGAGAGGTGAAGAAACATTGATGTAGTCCAGTGCTTGTAATTTAGGACAGGCAACTGTCACTGCATTCAGCAAGGTGCTACTGGAGGGATGGGGAAAGGAGGGAGAGAGGAAGAGGGCAACATGGACAGCAAGGTCTGTGAGGCATTCCCTCTCTTAGGAGTCAGCAGCTTCCCTCTTAGAGACCAGCCACTCCTCATCTGTCCCCAGCTTGCATCCCAGGTAGCTTTCTGTGCACTGCTGCCAAGAGGCTTAGCTGGCCAAAAATGCATACATTTAAGGCACTGCAGATGCCTCCCTTAACTTATGTTTACTGAAAGATGTAGGAATAAGTTCTGATACCGTGCATATGTTCCAGAACAAGTGGCATCTTTTGGAAGGTAAAAAGGCAAAAGTCAAGTGTGGAGTCTAGGCTCAGCAAGTAGGCTGAAGTGGCACTGAGTGAAAGTAAATAAAATGCACTGTGAGTGCTGCAGTGTGCATTTATATATACTGTAAAAGAGAACTAAAATATTTCTCAGAGTGATAAAAATGTGCAAAACATGGAAATCATTAGCTGTATAACAGGCAGCAGAGGGTTTTTTCCTGTCTTCCTTAGCATTAGGAACAGCACCACACGTTTCTGAGCAGTGTTCCCATGAAAACTTGCAGATAAGTCCATGGCAGCACTGACTGTCTCAAAGCTTGTGATGGGGAGAGATGCAGCAATTGCCTTCATAGGTGGTTGATGTCCTGTGTTTGGATACTCCGAGGTACCCCAAGACCAAGGCTGTTAAAGCGATCTGGCTGGTTTCAGTTTAGCAAAACAGATGCAAACAAGTGTTCAGCCCACTGAAAAAGCAGATAGAGGATGAAACTCCTGGTTACCACAGTAAATAAAGCGGGCGGTTGCACTGATTGTAGGGCTGTTGCATTTAATTCGCTAACAATCACTGCAATTAGGCACTCGCAGCTCCTTCTGCTTGTTAGTTTCCACGGTGCCTTCCCGGGCTTTGCTGCTGAATTTAGTTGCAGAGGCCTCTGTGAGGTCTTAGACACAGGCAAAAAATGCCACATGGAACAAACCTTTGATGAATCTTCACCGGCACCGCAAACTTCAGGATTTTGTTCTTAATACGAAAAAAAACCCCTACATCTATTGCAGAACACTGGTGTTTGGCTTATCTTTCCTTGGATAATAAAAGGCAAGAGGTTTGCTGTTAAGAGAGCGACTGAATTCTCTGGGTTTGACTCTTAAGGCTGTGAGTGAGCTTTTCACACATCTCGTAGCAATCGGCACACTGGGTGCCTTGCTATGGTACAGTGCTTTAATACTGAGAGGTTTTCTTTCCTTTTCACTACAGCAGGTTTGTTGTGCAGTTGAAATAGATTGTGCAGCTCAAGTGTGAGCTGGAGCATCCTTTGGAAAAAAAAGAAGTATTTGAGGTACCCTTTGTAGAGGAGAAAGTATTGGAAGTGTTTCTGACTGAAATAAATCTAGAAGAGACAAGATTTTATATTGCAGTGAGGGTTGTTATCTTCCATTGTATTTAATATTTTTCTGGAGATATGGTAAATGCTGTCTGGACTATTAATAAATAGGTTTCTTTAGAACCATTTTTATCTGATTGAATGTCTGTGATTTCTTAAGATGGAAGTTTATATATAATCTCTTTAAATGGCTTTGTAAACAAATGTGTTTTAATTAGTACAGAATCATCTTTGGTAGCTTATAAAAAGTCTTGTAGAGCTGTAAATATGTAATTCCTGACACTTCAGTAAATGTGTTAGCTTAAAGAGGAGCAAGGCAAGTATGCTTTAGTACCAGCTTCTACTAAACAGAGTTGGGTATATAATTACATAATTACCTACATTACATGTGTGGCCATGATATCCAGGACTATACAAAATAATACAAACACATTGAATTTTCAGTATCATTAAAACAGTTTGCAGGAAAATTCCGTCATTGCTGTAGAGCGTGACTGTGCACAGAATAAAAAGAGCTGCAGCCCTGAAGAGATGCTGCTTTGTTGTGTCAAGCTTCAATAAGAAAGGGTTGAAGCTGGAGTCAGAAGGCAGACAGGGTTCCTCACCCTGATTTTACCTTGGTGGCAGGTGAACCTGAGGTCACAGTGTGGAAATTTCTACTGCTGCATTTCTGCATTTCTTAAGAACTTTGAAATAATGATAACTTTATGGGTAATGATTTTGTCTGTGTTCATCCTGACCAGTGCATGTTACAAAGGATCCTGAGCTTCTGTTTGCTGATTCGGTCTAAAACTTGAGTGCTCCCTGCATGCAGGTATTTGCATTTCATAAATAAATCTGTGAAGAGTCTTCCTGTAAAAACATGAGTGTCTTACAATTAGTTCACTTCTGTATTTTATGCTGGATTTCATGTCTGGTTTTCTCATTTCTTTAGGGAGAAAACACAACCATTAATTCACTGCCAGTGTCTCTGACCCAGAGTTGTGGGCTCAGGCCAGACTACTTTGGTTCACAATGTACCTGGAGAACATTTGATTCCAGAAGTGAATTTCTGGTGCAGAGATTCTTCTCTGACTTTATCCTGTGTACGCTGTTAAGCCAGATTACATAGTCATTATGCAACAATGAAAAATTTAGTAACTGCTCTATATTTAAACCTTTGTGTATTAACTTCATTGCACAGCACCAGGATGGGTTTGAATGTGGAAAAAAATGTGAAACATGAGAAAAGGAATCAGAAATGCTTCAGTAACTCTTGTCTAGCTTGTAGTGCCTTCTTCTAGATCAATTTCAAATGTTTCTATTCTGTGAAGTGGGGGTTTTGTTTGTATTAAATTTGTCCTAAATTTGCCTTGTGATAGGGTCTGATTCTGTCTGGTTTCTGGACCGAAACGGTTAACGTACAGAAATGACGAATTTTTAGTTTTTGCATCTATTTCAAAAGTGCCTCTTGTTCTCACTAGCATGGCTTGTAGCGATTGCATTTTCAGTGTCATTTGAGTGTTTGATCTCTAAGTGTCCTTTTCTTTTCAGAACATCACCAAACAAGTATATTTAGCAGTTGATTCGAGAGTATGTCAACCTCCCATACACAGAGCTAGTTTAGTAGACTAAATTTGGGACATCTGAAACACAGACACATGTTCAGCCACACAAGTATTTTTAGCATTAAGGCACCCTGGAGAAAGCACAGGTAGGGCCTTCTTGTGAGGCCAGAATTGTTCCATGCCCATACGTGCTCAGGTGGTGCACTGCGGAGAGAGGTACCTTGGGCTGTGGATGTTGAAGCAACAACACCATGTCTAATGCAACCAGCTTCTGCTGGAGCCAGCAGGAAGGGAAATTCAGAGCAGGCAGTGTGGGAATACAGACATTGAGTGACTTTTTGTCCATTTCCTAGCATTCCAGATCCTTGCTGCCCATCAGCTGGAGATGCTACAGGTCTAAGGTGCCTCCCAGTATGGCCAGGACAGCTCCATGTCTTGACTGGGCAATCTGCTAGTAGGAGGGAGGGGGTGTGGACCAAAGGGAACTGTTCTGGTACTTCTCATGGGATGACAAACTGCTAATAGAGCTGCTTTTTCCTTTCTACAACCAGCTTTGGGTCAGCACAGAATGGGTACACGTGAGAGAGTCATTCTTCTAATTTCAGGAGGCTGTGGAGTGAGACCTGGAGGATGTGCAAGGTGAACACTTGTCACGAATTTTACTATTCTCTAGTGAGTTTTATGCTCTTGCCCACAAATGTTCAGAAACAGATGAGCATAGCCCTTCTGACACTTTCAGCAAGTGACCTCTGGCAGTCAGGAGCATGATGCCAACAGTGGGAACTGTTGTTTATGTCTTTAGATGCAGCTTTAAGGAAGTGCCCACCCTATGCTACCTACCATAAACATGTCAGCTGTCAGAAGCTTGTCTGCATGGGGTGCCCAGCTGTGGTGGCAGGATGGACAGACACACATTTCACATCAGCTTGACACTGTCACCCTGTATCATGAGTGTCTGTGGCCATTTAATGTCCCCACAGCCTGGCTGAGCCATGCCATGCTGAGGACTGAGGAGCTTGCTTGGGGTGTGCACTTTGCCTTTCCAGCTGGCTTTGTGCAGCTCAGTGGCCTCCAAATAAAGTCTGCAGATTTATACTTGAATGGTTTAGGAAATGCACCTTTGCTGCTGTCAGAAAACTGTGCAACTGCTGCTTGAACAACTGTCTGCTGTCTGACTGGCTGCAGGCCATTTCTGTCTGCAGTGCTGGGCCTGAAAAAGCCTTGGAGAGTCCCTGTGGAAAGGCTACAGTGGATCAGGTCACTTCACAAACATGCCAGCACTGTATCAATCAGAGTGGCGCAGGTTCAAGTTGCACAGTTGTTTGTGTTTTGCTGTTACACGAATGGGAATCTTGTGAGTCAAATGCTGCAGCATTACAGGCAATCTGATGTACGTGTTCATAGACATGAATGTGTATCTGTGAATGTTTATGGCTCTGTCTGGGTAAATCTTTAAAAACCTCCAGGGACTGCCTTCTACAGCCTTTCGGGGCAACCTATTCTGGTTGTGCACTGCTGTCCTAATAAAAAAATTCGTTTCCCAATATCCATCCTGAACCTCACAATTAACAGCCATTGCCTCTTGTATTATTTGGCCCTACAGAGAAGTATTTTGTTCCCATTGCAACTGCCTGTCAAGTAGTTGTAGGAATTTCTTGGAGTTGTTGCAGTTTCCTTGGAATGAAGATTATCTAGGGTGAACAATAGACTTTTTTGTTTCTTTTTTTTTTTTTCTCTGTATCTTGGTATTCCATTTCTTGGTGCATTAAAATGGATTTGCATCTGGGATTTCATACATGTGGCAAAGCTTCTTGACCATTGTTTAATAGACTCCTTTAACACAATTTCGGAATTGGTTAGGGGCAGCCTTTTTTTGAGAAGTGGTGAACGTGCCTTTCCACAGCTGAACGCTGGAGCAAAGTGGAGTCTCCAAGGACTAGAGTCAGTGAGTGGTCTTCAAATTCAGTTCCATTGGATGTCCTCCTTCTACAGGGAAATTCTTAACAACACTGTTTTGGTGCTTTGTCCCTCCAGTGGGACAATCTGTGGGCTTATTAAGCATTAGAGGAGCTGTAATGCAGACTGATAAGACCATGTTGTGAGCTTTCCTGTGGAGAAACGCTGAAGTCTTGGACATCTGAAACCCCTTTATCAGCTGGCACAAAGGACAGTGTGGTAAATCAGAGATAGGGCACCCGTGCACCTCTCCATATGTGGGGCTGTATCCAAAATGGAGAGCTGCAGGCTTGAGGATTCAGATTTTGGATGGCATTTTTTTAGATCCCTACCTTCCCTGATGGATTCAGTACCAGTGACGAGGGGGATATTTTTGTGCATCCGCATGAGGTGAGAACAGTGCCCACTTCTGTAGGCACTGCTGTCCTGGCCTGACACCACCCTCGGTGTGGGCGAAGGTGTAGCAGTTGGGGTCCGAAGCTGGAGCACAGTGTAATTACCCACCTTCAACCACATTTCATGCACAGAGACTGTTACCCCGTTGCTCTTGAGATCAGGCTGCTTTTTCTGCTTATTTTTTTAGGTGGAATTTAAGGTGTGAGCTGCAAAACACAAAGCAGCTCCGGCTGTGATTACCTCTGTGAGTGCCTTTCCCTCCTCCGGTGGTCACAGGCAGCCGAGGAAAAGCAAAAGCTGTCAGGTCCCTGCAGAAAAAGAGAGAAATTAGTGCTGGCAGAGTCTGTACGAGACAACTTATTTGCTGTGAAGTTTGAGTCCCTTGTTCCTGCTGGTGTGACCTGTTAACATAACATGCCTGAAATGTTTTCTTACATTCTTATTACAGTTTTTTCTAAGATGTGCAAAATGAAAGATATGGGGATATTTACTCCAGCACCACAGGAATTGTGGTGGGCTGGTTTTCTTTTTGTATGTTCACAATCTATGTCATCGATTCTAATACATGAATTAGTCACATAAGCATGCCTGCATTTATGTAAAGATCTGCGTAAAGCTCATGCTTTAAAATCTTTAACAGATTTATAGATGCTGAGTAATTAGATGAAAGGAAAAGTCCCTTAGAAAAGAAAAAAAGGTGAAATTAGAGGAGATCTTTCAGCAAGTGTGTTTATTACATTTACTGCTATCAGTTGTTAGTGCTGAGAATGCCTAAAGCATTTTTGTTAATATTTAGTTCTTTTTAACTCTTCTCATTGGTCAGTTAAAATAGTCTTCTTAACTTAGTGTTTTTCATGGCACTTCTGTGAAGTCCTGCTTTACTGGGTTGGCAGATAACCTAAAAGAATTAGTGATTTAAAAAGGCATACAGCCATGCCCCTGAATCCTGGCAATATTTCTGTTGACTCCCCAGTCGATGGTAAGGATGTGCACTAAAGCCTTACTTTCTCCCTGTGGAAAGCAGACTTTCCTCAAATAGCAATAGTGGCAGATAAGTTGAGTACGTAGTCTGGTTTCATTAACGTTTTCCAGGATTAATACGAAGTAGATCTTAGATCAACAATTCTGTATATTCCTTATCAGACTTTTAATTACTCCAAGTATATAGATAATTCCATTTCAATGCATTTAACTCTTTATTTACTACCTCAATACTATTCTTGTTCTGTTCCTTTCCATATCCTCCTTTATCTTCAGTCCCCACTTTCTTGTCAGCTGTCTAAATACAGTTGCATCCAAGTTTTGCTGAGTGACGCAGACGATTGCGTGTGTGTTTAGAGGCCACTTACAATACAAAAAGATTATTCGAATTTAGTCCCTGAAACGAGTTTTTGTATTTAAAATGCAAACCCGGCCAGGCAGCTGTTAGAGATTACAGGCACAGAAATAAAAATTTACCTGATTAGGATTTTCTGTATAAATACCAGATATAATTTGGGTATTTTGCTGTTTTAAAGATCAATATCCCAGTTTAAGGTAGCAGCCTCGGGGATCTGATGGGGCTGTTTTTATGAATACTTAGCCCAGCCCTTGTTGATGTTGTTTAAATGAAAGGATTTAGATGGGTAAGTTTAGAGCCTTGTATTTAAAAACAAACCCCAGGCCTAAACAAAAAGTCTGTCATTAGTTTTCTCCTGTGAATCACATTTTCAGCAATATTCCTTTTTCCCTAAGTGGCTTGAGGAAAGAATTGACAGTTTTATAGAAATGCTGTTTTCTTTCTTGCCTAATACATTGCTGATTTTTAGGCAGCTAGAACTAGATGTGTGAGTGTGTAGTCATCGCTGTTCTGTATTTAAATTTGATTTTATTTTGCTTTGGGTTTTTTCCCCATTAATTTTCAGGTTGTTTTCACATTGCAGTAATCATTCCAATTACACATGTGTAATTTGTCATTTGGTGCATATTAAATCCTCTTCAGCTGCATTTCAAACACTGATGCTGGGTTGTGATTCTGAACTGACTGTTCAAAAGTTCATTCTCGACCAGAAGCATTGAGTTCCCTGCAATGTTTGTTTCCTTCATGCAGCATTGAGCAGATTTGAAAAAGATGATTATTCATCTCACCCTTGAGATCTGCTTCAGTTATTCTTATGGCTGTGTGGGGGATGTCGACTCCAGGTCATGGCTTTGTTCAGCCTGTAACAGGCTGGGAGAAAGGAAAATAGTAGCCATGTTGCTCATGGAAGTGCTTCGGCATGCGTTTATGTCTCATTGAACCATATGGATTCCTGTTCAAGAAACGTGAATTAAGACCAGGAGAGACCTTCTTTAGGATTTAGCTGTGGAAACACACACGTGGTTCTTTGGTTCGCCACTGCCTTGTTTTGGATAGTTGAAGCAACTGCTTCGTGGACTATTGTATTGCCAGCTTCTCTTTCTCAAAGAGAGATGGTTTGGAAAAGAGATATTTTTAGAAATACTACTTTGTTCATCCTCTTTTTATTGATAGATTAATGTCATTAGTACAGGAGAGATTGTTGAGGGCAGCAGTAGTGACACTTGCAAAGCAGTAACAGAGGAAGCGGGACCCAGTTGTTGAGGAATGTGGCTGGAACTGTTTTCTCTTGTGTATTTATAATAAATGCTGTACAGTGAGAGGAAGAACGTCTCCTTCTTGGGGGGACTGTGGGTCAGTAGAAGGGAAGAGAAGGGGCATCAGGACCTTCCTGTTACAAGATTGATAAAATACGTCTGGGAACAGCTCTGAGTTGTGCAGAGCAGCATGGGTGCCCTTGCCTTGCAGAGCAGGAGTGTGTCCTATGGCAGCAGGCAGGGATAGGAATGGGGAGAGGGGAACCAGGGTCTGCAGCTGCCCACAGCTCTGTCTCTGCCTGCAGAAATCACTGTGTTAAAGCAAAATCCCAGATTTAATTCCTTACCCAGCCATGGGTTGAGTGTGCAGTCTTGCCTGGAATTCTCAGATCTCTGCTCATACTCCCCCTTGGTTGAGATGGGACTGACCAGGCTGAGCAGACTGCTTTGAAACACAGGTATGAGACTCCAGTCTGAGTGTGCCAGCAGCATTATTGCATTTCAAGTGACCTTTCAGTCTGAAACTTTGCCAAAGGGAGGGGAAAGGAAGCCACTCGAGTTCTGCACAGAGATCCTGCAAACAGATGGTGTTTGCATATAGGATATGCTGTTCGGGTGCAACTCTACTACAACGCTCTCCGTTTTTAATGATTGCAGGCGGGCTAAACTCCGGCTATATTTGGAACAGCTAAAACAGCTTGTGCCTCTCGGGCCGGACAGCACCAGACACACCACTCTAAGTCTGTTGAAAAGAGCTAAGATGCATATCAAGGTAAAAACATTCACGCATGTTTTTGTTTCTTTTGAAGGAGAATCTTCCAGAATGTGTATCCATAGAGAGGAAACTAATTTTCACACAAAATCCGTATCCATATGTCCAATGTTCTGGATATATTGGCCTTTATTAGTTGCAAAGATTTCAGTCACAGTATCAAGGTTTTGCAATTTACCCGGCAGTCTCAGATATATAAAAGAGTCATTTCTGCTTAGCTACAAACTAATGTAATTATTTACACTGTAGTTTAAAAAATAATATATATGTATCAAAGCTGTTGATTAATATGTTTGGTTTTTAAGGACTGAGCAAGGTAACATTGTATTGCATTGCTTTCAATGTAAAAAGCCAGATCCACTCATTATAAAAAAAATAACAGAGTCAAAAGAGTTATAGCTACCAGTGAGCCTTATCCACATCCCACATCTTGCTGACCAGGTTCTGAAGCATTTTTTAAACATTTAAATGAACCCCAAAATTAAATTCAATCTCCTGCTAGTTGCTGGCTCCCCTTGTTACAAGTTTAAAACAAAAAAAAAAGCCCAAAATCTCACCTGTGCAGGCTCTACACTGGCAAAGGTAATACAAAGTGAATCACTCCTTAGGCCTCCTCTCTCCAAAGACACCTTCACTCCCATTTTCATTATCGTCATTTTCAGGGAACCTGGTTATGTGCAGAAATAAGACAAAGAGGTATTCAAACATAAAAGTTAAAGAACAGGTTTCTGCTGCTGTGTCCAGGACTATAATTACTCATCTGGCATTTTTTTCAGTGTTACAGGGAAACAGGTCAAGAAAAGTGTCAGGAAAGGTTGAACACTGCCAGTAATCTTAGCATATTTTGGAGAACAGCCTGCTGATGTACATCATTAAGATGCACTGCAGTTACAGAAATGTAATTCATATGAAGAATTAAAGATTAATTTAAGCAAAACTATTTGTGTGAACAGATTTGCAGAGCTACTTCTTCAGCTCTTCTAAGCACATTTACTCCAGCTGGGCAACCCCTGTTTTTACCATTTGAGATTTTGGCCTCTTGTTTATAATTCAGGCTAACATGCGTGAAAGGCACTGCATGTGGTTTTTGTCTTGGGCTGCCCCCCTATCATGGGCTTATGCATACAAATTGAAAAACTGTTTTTACAAGTGGCGAGTGTGAGAGATTAGCCCTGTAGTTACCATTTCAGCTGCTGATAAAAAAAGCTAGGAACAGCTTCTTTCCAAATCCACTGCGCGCAGTACCAAGTACTCATTTTCTGAAAACTGAGACTGAAGTTTAACTTTCTTTTTAACATTTTAACTGAACCTGCCCTAACTGGGTTGGCACTTAATTGCTCCTCTTTGTCAGGTCAGCTCCCTCCCCGCTGCACTGCCAGAGCATGGCTGTGCCCGGCTCCCATTTCTAACACAGTCATTAGTTTTGAACTTTTCACACACACCCCCATGTATTGAAACTTACTCTGAGAGATTGGACGGTTTTGAGTCTCCTGGATATGAATCACAGAGTTCATTCCTAAAATAGCTGTTAAGAGTTTGGGATTGCAGCCAGGAAAATACAGGAAGAGGAAATCTGATCAATTGGGCACATTTGGTTTGTTGTGTACATGGATGTACCAACCCTTTTTCTTATTTTAACATTGTGTATCCACCTCTGATGCATTTCTGCGGAGTGTTATTGCCTGGGAGGGGGCTTAACACCCGGCTGAAGAGCGTAGATCTCATTCAGCCAGGAAATTGCCCAGTTTAAGAGTGTCAGTTTTTTTTTCAGAGAGAAATGCTTTTATTTCAGGCTTGCACTGGAACAGCAAAATCTCTGAGGGGTTTTGCTTGTGGTTTGCTGTGCACTGTCCCAGCCCGCTCTCCTCAGAAAAGCAAGCCCAGGTTCATTCAGATGGCAGGGAGACACTGTCAGCAGCTGTATTCACTCCCTGCACGTCTCCTAAATCTCAGCAGTCGTGTAAACACAGCTCACAGAGAAGTCTGCTCTTTCTTATAAGTGCTTTTACCGCTATAACCTGTAATTTACTGCATCAGTTAGATAATTTTTTTAGTAATAAAAGGTGTTTTGATCTGTGTGTTCTTCATGCTTTTAATCCCATCTTACTCATTACACTTTTTTCCCTAATTATACCGTCAAAACCAGCTATCAGTGATTTGGAAGAGGGTTCAGTTGAAATATTAAAAGATGCTACTTCTGTTACTGCATTTGGACCAACTGTGCAGCATGTATTCTTTTTATTTGCAAAATTAATACCTGCTGTTATTCTATCAGAGGGGAGATTTTAGGTAGATATGTGGAAAAATCCTTTCACAGGCTGTTTGCTGAGAAATTTTGGATTAATACCATTGATTTTGTAGGAGATATCACAGAATTATCATATTTGCTCTGCAGAGGTTCAAGGAAAAAAATCTAAGAATAAAGAGAATTGTTAGTAAATTCCTCCCACTATATATAATTAATGCTGCTTATTGTTAATTAAGCTTTTTAAATACTAAAATTTTCCATGGCCTGTGGTAGGAGGGAGAGCATTCAAAAGCTCAGGATGGTTCCTTTATGGTGATGGATAAGTCTCTTATTTCACCTAAAGTGGTGTTATGTTCTCACTGAAACCTGAGCTGCACTCGAGTTATCAAAGATGATGCCAGTTTTGCCTGATAAAATTATTTAAATATTCCCCACAACCAAGGCAACAATAATTTGGCCTTAGCCAAGGAATGTCTGCCAGTGGCAGGAGAGTCTCTGAGGGATTTTTTGTCTTTTATTATTTTTTCTCCTGCATCCATATATCTTATTGTGAGACAAATTCAGCTGTGACCTAGCCCGCCAAAACTGTACTGACCTCTGCAGAATGCTAACTAAGAAATTAAATTCTTAAATTTCATTTTAACTTAATTAAAGTGTTTATATTGCTTTTAAATTACTGTTTATGAGAAGACCTTAAGTTACTTCTGCTTTAACATGGGTAAAAGCAGTCAGCTTACTGTGTTCCTCTCCCTTTAAGAAATTGGAAGAACAGGACCGAAAAGCTCTAAATATTAAAGAACAATTACAGCGGGAACACCGCTACCTCAAGCGCAGATTGGAGCAGCTATCCGTGCAGGGCATGGAGCGTATCCGCACTGACAGCATGGGATCAACAATATCCACTGACTCTGAACAAGGTAATTGAACCAGGGCTTCCCAAGGGGAGTCACAGGAGCAGGAAGGAAAAGGGAAGTAGGGGAACGAGAAACTGTCATTTAGAACTAAAACTGAGCTTTCAGCAAAACCCAGACAAAATTGTTCCATAACGCTATTTGAGGAATAAAAAACTAATGCAACTTTTTTACATTCTTTGGAAAATGTTCTTTTTTCTAATCAGTTTTGAAGCTATTAATACTGTGTGTATTTTTAAAGCTATTTATCCTGTGTGTGGTTTTGCCAGTTTTTTAAACAATTACCATTTAATGTTTTGAATTTTTAGTGTAATTACTGGTAAGGCTGGCATAATATTTTCTCTTGGAAAAAGAAGTCTTATTGGGCTTAATTAGTTTGTGTGAATAAATTAATTCCACATCATTTATTGTGAAATTTTAAAGCATCTTCTGTGTAACAATCACCAAGGGTTCTCTGCATTTGGTTCTCATTTAAGACAGAGCTCTTGGAGCTGCCCGTCGCCATTTCTTATTTTCCCATTTGGAAGTTTTTCCGTGCTGAGCACTCGCCCAGGCTGTTTCAGGGCCTGTGGGAGCTGAGTGGTCGGTCTTGGGGCAGTTACTGGGGACAGATGGTCACGCCACAGTCCTCGCCAGCCAACACCTGTATGGGTTGGAATTACCAGGAGTGGGGCTTGTGCTATTACAGCCTTTGAGGGTCGGGTTCTTGCTAGATCAGTGTCATGTGCAGGTTGGAACAGTTCTGGGACAGCATTTGGTACTGATGTCACGCAGTGTATTTATGTGGTTGAGGACAGAAGGGATTTTAATTCTCAGGTGGACAAGATGATCATTTCCTCAGGAGTTACTGTGCCAGTTCTTTTTGTTTTGATTACTGAAAATGAAGCATGATTCACGTTCCACCTGAACGCTGATTGACACTGGCCCATAATTACTTGCCTACAGCTGCTGCCTTTCTGAAAATGTGCCTTCTTATGTTTTCTTTAGAAGTAGACATTGAAGGAATGGAGTTTACTCCAGGTGAAATGGACAGTATTGGAAGTGCCAGTGATGCTGAAGACCACTACAGTTTGCAAAGCGGTTCGAGTGACGGAGGTTACACACATTCCCGCAGACTGAATGCCAGGCTCTCATAGTGCCTGAGTTACCTGTTCAACTCAGGACCATCTGACTGAAGCACTTATATATGAATATTCCAGAGGTGTCAACTGCCACTCTTCCGGGAAACCCCAACCACAGTACTCTGACATGGAGGTTTCTTACCCACGGTTCCCTGCACTGTAACCACAATATTAGATATTGTAAATCATGGGTTTGCTGCAGAGAACTGTGGTTAGGTACAGTTGTGACTTAAAGCTAGCTTGATGTAGCCATACTGCAAATTAAAGGAAATAAATTATGTCATTCCATTCAAGAAGAATTAAATTCAAACTGTTGGAAGCATGGCGTAAGGGAGTTTGACAGTTATTTTGATTTTGCAGAAACCATTTTTTGAACATGGAAGAATAAATGGAATCTACAATGTGTTAGTGATTCAGAGATACAAAAAAACCTACTTTTTGTGGTATTTTTTCATGAAAAAAAAAAAAAACAAACCCCCAAAATATTTTGAATGCTGCATAGTGGGCTTCATAGAGCAAATTCTTTCAGCAGTTGTTTGGGTAAAGCAGGCAGATAAATCTTCAAATCTCAGATGATCTTTAGAAAAGGTTGTATTTACAAGTCACTACTGTACTTCAAAACGGGGGAAAAGCCAGCTCTAATAATGACTTCATGTGGGATGATCTCAACTTTCTTTTGCTTTTTGTATTCAATATCCAACCAGCAGCAAATCATTCTATCCATGTTAATGGGAGCAGTAGAAAGCAACATGGCAGTTTTAACCTGTTATCGTGGAATGGATGACATCTGAAGCATTTCAGTGGTTTTATGGGTTGTTGTTTTCATTTCTTTCTCTGAAGAATACAGAACTCAAGTGATCCAGTTTGTGATAGTTAATCTTTCCTTACAAGGAAATGAAATCTGTTTGCTTGTATTTTTTTTCTTTTCTTCTATTTACACATGTCAATACATTTTTATGGAAGGCATGGCTTAAGATTACAGTATTCAGCTAGAAGATAATTATTTTTTTTCTTTTGCACACTATAATTGCATTTTCTATTCTTAAAAAAAAGTGCAAAAAAATTAAAATGTATGCTGTAAAACAGCAAAGTTTATTTAGTACTCATCAAGCTGTTCAGAACATATTTACCCAACTTGTAGCAATACTATGAAGATGTATTTTAATACAACTTCTGCTTAGTGAAGTCATTAGAGCTTGGCTTGCCGGGTAAGAAAAAAATGGACCAGTCTTTGCATTACCTGTTTAAAGAAGGTCTTTTAAAAAAAAATAAAGGAAGGAAAAAAAAAAGGAAAAAAATTAAAAATTAAAAAAAAAAGAAAAAAGCTATAAACACTTTTAGGGAAGTGATTTTAGCAAGTGTAGTCTATATTTCCTGTAAGAGATTTTGTATTATATTTTCCTAAATGTTCTCATTTACTTGTATAGGGAGGGGAATGGTACAGACCCAGACCAGAGTCTCAGGGACTCTTCACCTTTGTCATATTGTGCCTTGGTGACCATTTATGTATGCCTCTCCTTTTCATTGTTTAAAGGACAACTAAGCTTTGTTTCAAGACCCTCTGTTCAAATGGTCAGTTGTCCACCTTCTTGCGGACGAAGCAGAGGTGTGTATTTATATCTTCACCCTCTCACAACTGATTCAGTGTGGCTTTAAGTAAAATCATAACATTAGGTTTTGGTGCGAGGGTTAATTGTCTTTGTATGAGCCCTCCCTTGGATTCTTCAGCACCCAAATCTATATTTTGTTAGCTTATAAAGTCAGGGTCTCTGTGAGACCAGCGCTCAGTGGCTGAGGAAACACAAACGTACTGTGTAAGGCTATGGGATGTCCAAGTGTGGTGCCATTTTTAGCATTTGGATACAAGACCTCATGACAGACTGACCATAATGATCAAAAACAAAGGTTCAGTTGTTCTTTCAACATCTGACATACGTGTCCTCCCTTTGGCTCTTACAACACGGGGTAGAAATATGAAATCATTTTGTGGCAGCTTACAGATCCTTGTTTGCACTCTCGCTTACTGCTTGGAACTTGCCAACAAGGAAAACATACATTTAATTTACATAACCTAATGGATGGCCACCCCTACTTTGGCTCTGGGGAGGGGCCTAAGGTTATCAACTCTGGCAGCTGAATTAAAAAATAATTAACAATTTTCTGTGATGCAGGTTTTGGTATTACGTTCTATACACCTTGCATATTACTAAAATCCTCATTGTTGGGGAAAGCACACAGCAATATACTCATTGTGTGTAGCTGACAAGCAGCAGAAATTACTAGCTCCTTTGGTGCATATGTAACTAATTTCCAAATCATGGAAAAAAAAAAAAAGAGTTTACTTTAACACACGACTGTTAACAGGAAAAAAAAAGGCTAGTATATTGTTGCTGTTCATTTATTATATAATGAACACATTCATGGATTGTAAAGTGTTTCCTTTCATGACAAGCAGCTCTTGCACAGAACCTCCGAATGAAAAAAGATTTGAAACTTACAGAAGGAAAAACGAGACTTTAAATTGAACATTATTGTACCTTAGGTCAACCTGAAATTTTCCTTTTAAAGATGAATGTGCTAACTTAATGAGTTCTTCCACGCTGGGTATCCATGGCTTTGTAGATCTTATATTTTCAATAAAAATTACTCGAATAATCTTGAGTGGAAATAAAAAGGGTTTATTTGTTTTTACTTTTTCAGTTATTACAGCTGGGAGCTATTATGCTGGTAAAGAAAAATGACACCATACTGCCTGTGTCATTCTCCCTCAAGCGCAGCCCAGTTTAAGGTGGAATTTTCAGGCACAGCTTCCCCAGACAGCAGCAGCCCAGTTAGGGGCAATGGCACAACAGTTCCAAGTGTCGGGCTTGGTGGCTGCTCTAACCCCCCCCAGCAGAGCTGCAGTCCCACAGGCTTAGTTGAGACTCTGACATTCCTTCAGGGACACAATTCTCCTGCTACTGAGCAGCCAGTGCAGCGCTACCTGTGGCCGTAACCCCGTGGGATGCAAAGTGTGTTATTGTTATTCATTTTTTTAAGCTGGACATTTGTGCGTGCATCTGTGTGTGCACACAACTGTACCTGTAACCATGACATGACTGCAAAAAGCAAACTGTTGGCTGCAAGATTAAATCCTGCCACCACCTCGGCAGCTCTGCCATGTTGTGTCCTGACGGTGCTTTTAGCAGGCGAGGAGGTACCAAGTGCTCAGCTCATCTTAATTCCCCTGCAATTAGCACATGGGAAAAGAAGGAGTAGAGGCAAGATTACAGGGCTGCTAGGTCTTTTCCTCTGTGGAAAGGGCTCTGGAGAGATGAAGTCATCGAGAAGTTCTTTTTATGGAGACATGGAGGTTTGGCCTGTTTCCTGAGGGGAGAAGAAAGGAAGGGCTTTCCCTTGCAGCAGGCAGGTGTGGGGAGGATACGCACCTCCTCACTGCTCCTGGATTAGCGCTTCCTCCAGCTCCAGGAGCGCACTCTGTCATCACCACAGAGTGGCATAAAAAAACAGCCTAAAATTGTTAGTTTTTTCTGCACAATTCTCCACTGTAATTCAGGGGATGAATCCTCCTTCACATCCAATCTCTCTGCCCAACTTGTACCCTGCCAGGCCCATTGCAGCTGATTTATTTATCTTCTGAAAAGAGCAGGTTTGGCAGTAGAAACTCTTCAACACATTGTTAACCAGAGACTGGATCCTGTATTGTCTTGTGCAAAGGACAAACTCGGTTCAGAGAGTTTTACTGGATTAAATCAGATATAATAAGCCCCCTAAAAATCCATGAGAAGGCTAGTTTTTCATCTGGTGTTTGTATATTAGTTTCTATCCTCATTTATTAGTGTAAGCTTTGGGATGAAAAAAAAAAGACTTAAAATCTAACACAACTTGCATCTAACTTATAGAATTAAGACTGTGTGTTACTTTTTTTTACATGGATGAGTATGGATTCAGCTATACCACACACAGCCCACCAACATTTAGTATTAAAAGTAAAAAAAAAAAAATTCTGAGCATCCAACTGTACCCATTTCAGCACATGAACTTAAATGCCAAAAGAGGAGAACTGAGAAACGGAAAGAGGTGGTGACTGTGGGCTCTGCCTGCAGACCTACTTCTGCTTTTCCTGGAGGTACTTAGCAGTCTCTGCTCCCGGAACAGGTGATTATTTCACCATTTTACCAACTTTTTGGCAGACTGGTAATTAGCGGTGAAATTTTTGATCCTCGCAGAGCAGCCCTGTGGAGAAGAAATATTTTTGAAAACAGCCACATCATCACAGTTTTTAATTAAGTAATATTAATTTTATACACTTCATTTTATGATGGCACTGATAAAGGAATGCTTGCAAAACAAATTACTCTTTCAGAAACCTGTTGTGTTTTTTTTTTTTTAACTGGTAGAGGCCACTGTCTTGTGTGGTATGAGCCAGTAACAGTGCACTGACTTGCACTTTCCAAAATTGGTGGAAGGATAATTGAATCTCTTTAGATACCCTTTAAGGAAGAGCTGTACTCCCTACAAATACTAATGGGGCAAACACACCAGAAATTAATTTCACCAGCAATGAAATGAGCCAATTTGCTTAAGTGACTGCCTAAAAGCACTGTTCTTAATTGGTAGCTGCAAAGAAAACATTCAAGTGTGTTCCGTAACCACCCAGAATTAAAATCCAGGGGATATATGAAACAGAAAAGTCCAGAAACCATTTGGTCATCTTGACTGTTCTCTCTGCCTGAAGTATTGTAAATAACCCCAGGAAAGGATTCCTAGGAAGGCATGGCCAGCCAGAGGCTGGCCCACTGGCAAAGCAGAGGGAAGGCACCCCAATTTCAGAATTTCTTTCTTCCATTTTGCACGAGAGGCATAAACTGTGGTTACACGGGATTTATGGCATTGGAAGGGTCTGTGCAATACGGATGTTTAAGTGATGAAACTTTGGTGCAGGTGAAGCACTGACTGAGAGCCTTCTGCTGCTTACTGGTGAAATTGTTACCTAAAGGTGTTACGAGTGGGTTCTGTGCCAGAGCCTCTGGGTCCCAGAGCCAAAGGAGTGGTTCATAGTTTGTGAGATGCATTTTACTGTATTATACAGATTCATTTGTACGCACGTACATGGCGCTTGCTACGTTCTGTAGCACACGGAGTACTGTGTTGTATCATTATCTCGTCATAATATAAATACAAATTTTTATACCTTTTTGTTGTGGTATCCAGTTTTTTTTTAAAAATGTCATCGTTTGTTTTTTTTGTGCATAGTGTTTCTTCTCTTTGAAAGTCTTTACATGCTGCAAATCTTTACATATTGGTTTAATGACTATTTCATAAGGAGCTCACTGAGTTTTAGCAATTCAAATGAACGGCATGGAATGGAGGCTGAAGTGCTGTTAAAAGTTCTTTTACACACACTGGCCTGATGAAACCCCAATAGTTATTAATATTATTTGTCTCTAACCATAGGTGCTGTATAAATTTCCACTATTACCTTTCTGAAGACAAACCAACCTGTAAAACAAAGTGCCAGCTGAAATGCATTAGTGTCTGTTCTAAGTAATTATACTTGAAATCATTCCAGCTCTGTACAAGGCAGAAAAAAAAAGCATTAAGAGGCAGTCTGCAAGTTCTGCATGTGTATTTTGTTGAATATGAAAGTCACATCACAAGTGACGTGCAGCCAGACAAAAATGAGTATTTTAATTTGTTACTAGGAGAGACGAGACGAGGGACAGAGCTGAAATGCTTTTGTGAATTACATTGATTACTCTCAGCTGCAGTGTGTGACATCCACTGGTTTGTGTGTGTTTTTCACACATGTTGGACTTAAATACAGCAATGTCTTAAAAATACAGAAATAGTAGTTTTAAGTTGAAATTGTGGCAAGTAGCTTGTTGATATGTTTATGTTTGATTTGAGTAGGTTAAGCTGCTGAATCAGTAAAAGTACTCCTGCACAAAGCACAGTAAACTAATTTATCACAGCTTTCTTTGAAATTAACACTATCACAGAATGAGCATAAAATACAATCCAGTCCTTACTAACTTACTGTAAATTAATCTCCAACAGGAAAAAAGCTATCAAACTTTTAGCAGTGCTGTGTTTTGTGACAGCACTTTTCTCAGCACAAGAATTGCATGGGGTAACAGAATTATGACAAATGTGGGGACACTATTTTTGTAAATCCTGTACAGTTTATGACCTGCACAGCTCCTTTTATGACATCTGTCATGTCCTATCATCTGCTTTATAAGCAAAGCAAGTTTCCTCATGTCCAGGAGCTTGCCTTGCCTATCAGGATGAAGATGTTTTGTCAAAATGTATTTAAATAAGAAAGAGCCTTAAATTATAATTAAAATCATAATGATATAACCATCAGGTTCCTCTAAAAGAGGTACTTTAAAGTGGATTTAATGGAAAAGCTATCAGTTATTATTCTTCTGTAAACTGTGAATTACCCAGTGTTTTTAAGGACCGTGGCATGGCAAGAAAGGTGTGATTATGGTGTGGGGGCCAGAGGAAGAGCAGAGTGCTGGAGTCACTGCTGCCTTAGAAGAGCTGGGCCTGGACGAACAGAGATTGCTGCTGATTTCTTTATGCCCACTATGGTTTTACACTCCCCACAGCTCTGTGAAAGCCCCCAAAAGCTTGCTCTCCTGTGCCACCGCTGCCCCACTGGGGATGAGCTGTGAGGAGGCTGATGGGAGAGAGGGAGCAGAGCAAGGAAGTGGGAGGAAGTGATCTGGTCCTGCACACTCCCTGCCGAGGTTCCTGCCGAGTCCCAGTGCATGTTCTCACACACGGGTTCAGTTTCTTAAGAACAAAACCCATTTGCAGACAGCCTGGCTCAGCAGCCCTGCTTGGGGTGCTCATTCAAAATAGGGTCAGGCGAGTAAACAAACCATTTTCTAGAACAAAACAAATCCCCTTGTGCATCACATGTTTAAATACATAGGAGTGTTAGCCCAAAGGTGGAGGAGCTTTTTGTATATTTATGGCAGTGAATCCAACAAAGCTGAAGAAAACTAATCACTTTGACCTGCTTTTCTGGGAATACAAGGTCTCAGAATGAAATCCACCGTTCCTCTGGAGAGAAGATACATGCACTTGGGAGAGAAAGCAAGCTGGTGCCAAATTCCTGTCTTATGACTTTGTTATAATCAAAGTTCACATGGCACTTCAAAAGCCATGCTTAATTCAGAATATATATCTGCTTAAAGGAATGAATTACCTTTTAAAACAGGGTGTTTCCAAAGACTGATTGTTACTCCAGCAATCTCCAGCAGGGACCTCTACCATCCTGCTGCTGCCAGCAGGCGTGCAGTATGATGCAAAATGAAAAAGCTTCTATACAGTTACAGTTCACCAGCTAAAAACCTATTTCCATGTCTCCTCTGAGGGTTTTTTTCCCATGGAACAAAAAAACAAATAAAACCCCCATGAAACAAACAAACAAACAAACAAAAACCCAAACAAAAAACAAATCCTAAAGCAGTAACAAGCAAACCACTTTTATGAGAGTTTTTCATCTGACAGATGTATCCCAGTGGGAGGGTTTAGACTGCCCAGCTGTGACACCTGCTTGGTGGCTGTTTATTACAGCCTTGGATGATGGGTAACCAAGAACTTCTCTCTGAGGTATCAGGCACAGTGATGTCATATTTTGCAGTGGAATAAACACAACATGATATGGATGGAATAGTGCAGAGCTTGCAGACATCCTTCCAGAAATGTTTATGTCTTAATCTGCTGGAATTCACCATTAAATGGCTTGTAAAGGCAGTATCCTATCTCAGCAACCCATCCAGCTTTCAGGCACAGATGCAAAACGACTGCTCGTATTATGGAAAAAAAGGGTAAGGTAAGCCTTTAATTATGTTTTGACTGAACACAACCAAGACAAAAAATGAATCAGAGAAAAACAATCTTGACCCATAAGGATCTGCAAAAGGAAACAGTGAAGCACATGGGGTGAGGTCAGGTGGGGAGAGGGGCTGTAAGAAATTTTGAAGACATCTTTGTAGGGGAAGTGTGTTGTTTAATCTCTGCCCTCAAAGCCGATGGATGGTCTAACAAATGAAAATTTGTTTCCCTTTAGAGGCTTGTTCTTTCAAAATGAGACTTTTATGTGCACAATGTTCTGACCTAAAATATTTCAATTCTAGCCTGAATTCCTATGCCAGTGGGGATTATGAGATCATGCTGTCTGTCAACTCCTCTTTCGTCCATCTGTTCCTCTCCTCCTTTCCTTGATAACTTCTGAACCTTCTGGCTAATTTTCACCAAATTTGACAAATCAGAGATAGGATGGAAGCTGCAATAATAATCCATGATGAAAACTTTCACAGAAATTCTCTGTGTGGGTAGAAAGAAAAACAAATTATTTCCTGCATTGATTGTGGCCCAGTTGAGCTCTTCACTGTTTTCAAGAGGTGGCCACTGGCCAGCAGGGATGTAGCTCCAAACCGGCTACAGAATGAGCATATAGTGCTGCTTGCCCAGCTACACAGACAGGGACATAGGTTTTGGGAAGTGGGACATTGTAGCCATGTGAGTCTGGAAAGAGGGAGAGGAACCAGTCACGCAGGGAACTGAAGGCATTAGTTGCAGCAACCCAGAGAGACAATTTGATAGAAAAAAGACAGACAATCTTTTATCAGATGTGTCTTCTTTCATCTAGGATGTGGACTTCAGTGGAAGAGCTGAATTGCTCTCAGGACAGCAGAATTTTAGGAAGTTTTCTAGGTATTTAAAATTTGCCTTTACTCAGGCATTTTTTTACATGAGTAACACTGAAACACTGATATTTATGAAACAAAAAAACCCAAACCACAATACTGTGAAGCACAACCCTGCAAAACACTGCTGTAGGAGAAGTTGCTTTTACTGCAAGTAACTGACTGAACTGAAACAGCACAGTCTTATGAAATAAGCTGGTGAATGCTTTTGTTCCTTTACCGTCGGAAAGACACAATGCACTCCCAGCTGCAAGACGATTTGAAAACTTCAGCCAGCCTAACTTGCAGCTGCATATCAGGCTGTACTCTGATGGGAAGAAATTCAGCATTACAGCTCCTTTTACCCAGGAGAACTCACTGCCACGTCAGGGTTTAATCTAAAAGTGTCTTGCATGGACCACATTATACCAGAAATCAGCATTCTGTACTTTTTGAGTGATAGAGGTGCTGATTTTGATCTAGAAAACCTCATATGAGTTAGTCTTAGCTATGCTGAGCTGCAAGGTTGCTCATTGCCCTGTGTTGATTCCTTGCGACAATTGCATTGAGATTAGAGAAGCTGAACATTTAGGACAAGCAGTGGGAGGGCTCAGCTACCCTCATATGGACTGGGTCAATGCTTATCAGGGTGAAATGTAGAGAGAATATTTCTGGATGCAATAGATTTCTAGAATACCTGACCCTACGAACCACAAGGAAAAGTCATTCTGAATTTAGTCTTCAGCAATGCAGAGGATCTCATTCAAGACCTATTAGCTGCTAAATAGTAGCAACCACAATATAATTAAATTTAACACTAAGAAGAGATCAAGACAAATAAAGCAAACAGATACTCAGTTTTAAGAAAATGACCAAAATGACCTATGCAAAAGTGGGGAAAATGCCAAAAACCCCTAAATGCACAGTTTGAAATGAAGAAGCCTACAAACACCCAGAAGGCTTAAAAAATACAGTTCTAGAAGCCCAGGTGTAATATCTAACACAAATAGAGAAACGTGGCGCAAACCTCCCCTTGCATGACTCAATGAGAAATTTAAGGAGTCTATTGCAGGGCAAATAGGGCAGCCCAGAAAAACGTGGCACACAAAATGTAAACAGGAAGCAAAGACGTCTAAACTCAAGGAGTGGCTGATAAGGGATGCTCAAACTGTTAATGACAAGTTTACATGGTGCTTGACTGAGAACTAGCCCTTGCAATGCAGAAGAGGTCCCACAATCTATGCCGAGAGCTTTCTGGGGACTCCGTGGGCCACAGCAGCCAAAAAGCCAAGAAAACAGGGTGCATTGTAAGGAAGGGCACTGGAAATGAAGATTTTGTAGAAAACCTTGGTACACCCACACCTTGAGGACTCTGTGCAGTCTCATCTCTGCACCTCCAGCAAGGCACAGTGATGTTGTAAAAGGTTCAGGGGACATCTGGAATAATGGGAGGAATGGAGCACTGCCTTTAAAATAGAGGCCAAATTTTGGAATTGTCCAAACTGGAGAGGACAAAGCTGAAGAGCAATGTACTGATGGTTTCTAAGTTGCCATGAATACCATGGGTAAGGTAGATTCAGAGGTGGCATTGACAAAATCAATGCTAGTGCCAGGAATCATCTGACAGGTTTTGCAAAGGGCTAAAAAACAATACAGGAAGTGCCTTTCCAAGGAGCAGGTTCTGGGATGTTACGTTGAGAAGTTTTGGGGGGATATCAGCATGTTGAAGATGACATCAGACAAATCCATGCACATAAAGGCCATGGATTTTCATCAGGGGTGAAAATCACCGTCACAGCAACAGTGGGCACGGGTGGCAGAAGCGTCGTGTTTGGGTACAGGCACGGGGAAGCTGGTGGGCCCAGCGGTCAAAGCGCTGAGCGACATCAGTTGCACTCAGGTCTGCTCCGTCCTCCAGTTCTCGTGTGCTGCGAAGGGGAAAATAGGGGGCAAGAGCCGGGGGGAGCTGAGGGGCTGGGGCTGAGGAGACATAGCCGAGGGCAGCTGAGGGGACACAGCCGAGGGGAGCTGAAGGGCCGCGGCTCAGGGGACACAACCGCTGCCCCGCAGCCGCCCTGAGGGGAGGGACAGCCCCTGACGTCACCAGCGGGCCTGGCGCGAGAGCGCGTGCGCGTGCGCCCCCGCGGGGACGGAGGCGGCGCGTGGCGGGCGGTTCGAGCTGCGGGCGCGCCCTGAGCCTGCCCTCAGCTTTCCCTGAGCCTTCCCACAACCTTCCCTCAGCTCTCCCTCGCCGTTCCTTCAGGCCTCCCCTCAGCCTTCCCGCCGCTTTCCTTCAGGCCTCCCCTCAGCCTTCCCGCTGCCTTCCCTGCGCCTTCCCTCAGTTTTCCCGCCATTTCCCGCCCCCCTCCCCTCCCCTGGAGCCGCCGCTGGGGCCGAGCAGACGCTGTGGTGAGTACGGAGCGGGTACTGTGGGATCGGGGCGCCACCGCCGCCTTCCTCCGTCCCCTCGTCGCGCCTCGTCCCTCTCCGGGCGGGCTCCTGGCCGGGATGCCCGCGGGGCTGGAGGCACCGACGGCCCCGGGGGCGGGACGTGGCCCCTGAGGGCCCCGGTCGTGCGGCCTTTGGGCGGCCCCGTGTTGGGACGGGGTTGGCGGGTGCTTCCTCGGGGCTCCGGGGTTATTGTTTGCGGTGTTGAATGGCAGCGCCAGGGCCGTGGTGGCCCGGCGTGCCCGTGCATAAAGCTGTGTGGGCCCTTTGTCGCACAGAACCACAGAACAGTTAAGGTTGGAAGGGGCCTCCGGTCTCCAGTCCGACTCCCCTTCCAAGACAGAGTCACCTGGAGCAGGTGACACCGGAACGCGTCCCAGTGGGTTTGAAATGTCTCCAGAGAGGGAGACTCCACACCCTCCCTTGGCATCCTGTTCCAGTGCTCTGACACCCTCAGCGTAAAGTTCTACCTCATGCTGAGGTTCTGCTTGCTGTATTTTAGTTTATGGCTATTAACCCTTGCCCTGCCTCTGGACGCCACTGAAAGGAATCTGACGCCATCCTCTTGGCACCCATATTTATTTATGCCCTGTTTAGCACTGAGGGCAGAGGAGAGTTGGAAGGCCACCCTGTGACATGAAACTCGCATAACAATTTGTTTCATATGTAATCTGTAGCTCTGAGTTAAGTCAGATGCATGGAATTTCAGAGGGACACCTTTACTTGGTTCAGCCCTCCAGGCTGGCTGGCAAAGTGGGGTCTTGTGGTGTTTTAGAAACAAAGTATTAAATAATTATCAAACTAAAAAAAAATCTTAATATTACCAGACTGTTGCAGACAAGGCCTCTTGACTTTTTTGATAATTTATCCATTGCTGTCTGTTGCACACACTTTAGGATCCCAGAGCTGATGATTTGTTTGCTGGGAAACAGCAAAGCAGCAAACTTCTTTTCCCTGTAACTTTTAAGTTGTGACTATTTTCACAAGAGTATTTACACTGATCTTAATTTTAATTTGTTATAATTGGTCAAAAAGCCTGCAGTATTATGTTGAGATATTTATATGTTAAAGAATTTCTTGTTCCATGTTCAGAGGAATCTTTTAAATGAAGGTTTAGAAGACAAGATTCTGATGGCTACTGAGGTAAAAAATAACCCTTTATAACCTAGATCTCAAAATGCAGTGTAATAGCACTGTGGTTTTGTTTTTAGAACAAACTGAAAACCCCACTAATTTTGGAAGCATTAAAATGATTGTGGGTGTTTTTTTAAATGAATGTGAAGAAAACTATAAGTAAGTCACTTTTGCAGGCCAATGAATTGCACAGTATTTACACCTGTTGCTTTTGATGATGCTATTCTATTTTAATAATTTATGTGAATTAAGGAAAAATGTAAATACTTGCAAAGATCAGAGATATAACTGATGTAAAAATGTGTCCTGATTTGATTAACAAAATATATCCTTGAAATAAAAATTGGTTTCTAATCTTTGAATAGCCACTCTAATCCAAAACATCATTTGATTTTTTTGGTGTGATCTGACACTTTCTTTTTCCTATGCAGACTCTTTTTTTATTAAAATACTGAATATTCATTTTAAATGGCAAAAAAATTACAGCTGGAATAATTCCCCGGATTTTTTTCATGCATTTGGATCTTTTCTGCTTACAAAAAATATTTTAATCATGAGCTGTGGAAAGGATTTTGTGGAAACTCTTAAGAAAATTGGATATCCAAAAGCCGATGAGCTTGATGGAGAAGATTTTGACTGGATGTTCGAGTCTTCGGAAGAGAGATCGTTTCTGGAGTGGTTTTGTGGAAACATAAATGAGCAGCATGTATCTGAAAAAGAACTGCAAGATTTTGATAATCTTGTTGAGTGTGGTAAGCCCATCTTGGAAGGACATGCACTGGATGAAGCCCTTAAAACTTTGAAGCCGATGGATTTGAAGAACAGTAGCCAAGAGAAGGAGGAGGAAGAGGAGGAACTGAAGACATTAGAGGATGAGCTTCAAACTCTTCAAAACTTAAAAAAACTTCAAATTCATCGGCATAATAAGCTTCAACTGATGGTCACTGCAAACAGCCATTCGTTACAAACGCTGCAAAGCAAAGAGGAAGAAGCACAAAAAGATTTGAAAGAAGCTCTGGAAGTGTTTATTGTAGCAAATGAGAAGCTCGACAGTGAACTGCAGTCTCTTGCGGATGCAGCAAAGAAATTTGCCTCTTTCTTCAGTGCTTCAGATTCAGAACATCCAGTGTTTTTTTCCCAACTTTCTTTGGACAAGTATTTTTCTCTGGAAGAACAAAGCACTGCAGCACTTATCTCGCACATAAAAACCCATTTAAATCAAGGTATGTCTGAATGTGTTGAAAATTCACATGAAGGCAGCTTTCAGCTTGAAGATTTAAGCGAGCCAGTCACTTGTGAGGGGACTGATGAAACTTCTGAAGAGACTCAAGAGGTAGCCAGGCTCCAGACAGGATATATTTGTGCTCAGCATCAGCTAATTCAGCTGCAGGCTGAAGAGGAGGGCATGAAATCAGCTATCAAATGTGCAGAGAGCATGCTGCAGTCCTTGGACAAGGTAAGCTATGGGCACTGAAAAGATGAGGCTGCACTCCACACAGAATTCGGTTTTGGGATTTCTCTGCTGACCATTTTCAGCTTTCCCCTTTTATTCATGTTCTCCTGTAAACAGCACCTGGTGTTGTCTTTTAGTTAACCAGAATTCCCAGGATTGTCCTAAACCAGTGTTTTGATCGCACACACTCACAGCATATAGTGGCTGTGTTCAGCCATGAGAGAAAAACACACGCTATCATGTGGAGTGGTTTTCCACTCAGAAGCACAGCATTCTCTCTGTCAAAACACTTAGCCAAGGTTGGTCCTCTCTTTTGGTGCCAATTAACTAATGCAGGTGTAGAGTGACTCAGCTTGTTCCCGTATCTCCCCCTGTTTTCTTTGGACCCACAAGGTTCACTGCAGAGGGGACCAGGACCCGGGCTTTTTGTCTTTGGGTTTGTCCGATGCACTTCCAGAGGACTTTAAATATTAAAACCAGACAAATTATTAAAAAACCTGCTATTGATGCTGACATATTACCCAATACACTGGCTCCTGTATGCGTGGCCTGCACTGAATGGGCCAATGCAGCAGTAGCTGCCATGATTACTGCAGAGATGACAAAAGCAATTAGCCATCCAATGATGATTTCTTGATTGTGTTAACAGTTTCATTAACTTGCTATATCCTGCATCATCCTCCCAGCTTCTGGTTAGGTTCACTGGGAACCACAGTTTGGCTCTTCTGCTCATGGAAATTATTACTGATAAATTGAGAGTAGATACATTCTGATTTGTAATACAATTAAAATAGTAGGGATTACCTACGGGAATGTTAAAGGTTTTGTTAGTCACACTAATCACAACATCAGGTGCGGCCAAGGAGGCATGTGAGTGAGACTCATGACTGAGTCATTATGCCAATTAGTAAGAGTTAGTAGACACAATGAATTATCCCTAGAATATTTTCTTCCATGTACATCCAGGCAGGCCTTGTGCCGCTCAGCGTTCACTGGTCTCCTTCCGGGATTCTCTGAGGGACAGTGTCTGTGGAATTGGATTGCATGTCGAGTCTGTTCTACTCATATAAGGTTTCATCAAACGTGCTGGAAGTCAGTGGGGTCCTGAGGGAGACAAAGCACAGGCCTGCTCCTTCCCCATGCCAGTAACTCAATAGGACCTTGCCACAGGGCATCTTTGTGAGTTTTTGTACAATACCTATTGATCCAAATTAAAAAAATTAAGGGTAAATACAGCTTCGTCTACTTGGGATGTCACATTCCCCCTTTTTTGTTTTAAAAGTATGGTTTTTAATACAGAGTACACATTTCTTGCACCTGGGATAGGCACAGGTGATAAGATTATAGTTAAGGGGTTTTTTTGTTGTTTGTTTGTTTTGGTTGGGATTTTTTTCTTTCTTTCCTTTCCTTCTTTTTCTTTCTTTTCTTACTTTCTCTTTTTTCTTTCTTTCCCTTTTTCTTTCCCTTTTTCTTTCCCTTTTTCTTTCCCTTTTTCTTTCCCTTTTTCTTTCCCTTTTTCTTTCCCTTTTTCTTTCCCTTTTTCTTTCCCTTTTTCTTTCCCTTTTTCTTTCCCTTTTTCTTTCCCTTTTTCTTTCCCTTTTTCCGTTGGTCTTCCTTCGTTCCTTTTTTCTTTTTCCCTTTTTCTGTTTTCTTTTTCCCTTTTCATCTTTTCTGCTTTCCCTTTTTCTTTCCCTTTTTCTTTCCCTTTTTCTTTCCCTTTTTCTTTCCCTTTTTCTTTCCCTTTTTCTTTCCCTTTTTCTTTCCCTTTTTCTTTCCCTTTTTCTTTCCCTTTTTCTTTCCCTTTTTCTTTCCCTTTTTCTTTCCCTTTTTCTTTCCCTTTTTCTTTCCCTTTTTCTTTCCCTTTTTCTTTCCCTTTTTCTTTCCCTTTTTCTTTCCCTTTTTCTTTCCCTTTTTCTTTCCCTTTTTCTTTCCCTTTTTCTTTCCCTTTTTCTTTCCCTTTTTCTTTCCTTTTTTCTTTCCCTTTTTCTTTCCCTTTTTCTTTCCCTTTTTCTTTCCCTTTTTCTTTCCCTTTTTCTTTCCCTTTTTCTTTCCCTTTTTCTTTCCCTTTTTCTTTCCCTTTTTCTTTCTTTGTTACATTGTTTTCTATCAGTTGTATTTTCAAGGAAGATTTAAACACATATCAAAACAATCCCCACGTACATATTTTAAGACAACAAATGATCTGGCACTGTTCTAGGTTCCTGAGGATTCCCAAAGTCACAAACACTGAGACACGAAGGGTGTAAGCAAAGCAAATTTATCCTGTTACTTGCGATAGCATTCCATACACACTGACCCCTGAATTTCTGCGAAGCTGCTGAGCAGGAGGAGAAGATGGACATGGTACTTGGCGGGAGGGGCAGGCAGGCCATGCACCTTTCAGGGTGTCCCCGGGATCAAAGCAGGGTGCACCCCCTGTCCAACCCAGAACCACCTCTCTTATATCCCCCTCGCAGGAGTGGAATTTTCCAGTTGTGACTTTGGCTCGTGTGGCCAACGTGCGACCCGAGACCACAGTGGCTTATGGTACCAACTCCGTGCCAAACTCAAGTTCCCACCAGTTAACCTAATCTATTGTTTCTCTTTCCAAGGTTCAGTATTCCCAATAGTGAAACTATGCAATGTTTTCCCATGCCACATTGACAAGCACAACCACAGACCAGCTATGGCAGCATCTCAGACACAACCCAGGTCCCTGGCACAGGCATAAATCAGTCAATCAATCTGAAGTTTTAACATTTTTTTTCATCACTTTTAGTATTATTCTTAACTTTTTTCTTTAAATCTCGACTGTGGCATGTGTGTGAGGGCATCTAATTGTACACATGTACCTAGGCCTAGATGTTTTTTGGTTTAAAGCACAAAACACACTGTAGAAATAACTTCCCTTTTTTAAAGTTACCAAGAACAAAGTTATAGGCACTCAAATTATCAAATACATTCAATGGTTCCAGTGCTGTGTGTCCATTCTTCAGATGATTCATGTATTTAAGCTCCCTTTTTATTTTTTTTATGTTCCTTTGGTTTCATGGTTGAAGTTCAGCTCTGACACGTTGGCAGCTGTGGAGCTTGGAGAGAGAGGGGAGGCTGCTGTGGTGGCGCACAGTGAGGTGGGGGGGAGTGACCGGGCACTGATTTTTGGGGGTCAAATCCCCCACCAGAGGTAAATTAGCATGGTTAAAGGCAGGAGACAAGAGATTATAATGAGTAAAGGTAGAAGACTGACCCCTCACCAGAGGTCTTAAACCCCCTGTCAGCAGGGAATATAAACCAGGCTGATCAGCAGCACAGATAGAAACGGCAGGTGGTATAGAATCATAGAATAGAATCATAGAATCGATTGGGTTGGAAAAGACCTCCGAGATCATCGAGTCCAACCCTTGGTCCAAATCCGGTCCATTTACTAGATCATGGCACTCAGTGCCACGTCCAATCTGCGCTTAAAAATCTCCAGGGATGGTGAATCCACCACCTCTCTGGGCAGCCCATTCCAATGCCTGATTACTCTCTCTGTAAAGAATTTTCTCCTGATATCCAACTTAAATTGCCCCTGGCGGAGCTTAAGCCCGTGCCCCCTTGTCCTATTGCTGAGTGCCTGAGAGAAGAGACCAACCCCCACCTGGCTAGAACTTCCCTTCAGGTAGTTATAGACGGTGATGAGGTCACCTCTGAGCCTCCTCTTCTCCAGACTAAACAACCCCAGCTCACTCAGCCTCTCCCCATAGGACTTACGCTCCAGTCCCTTCACCAGCCTTGTTGCTCTTCTCTGGACCCGCTCCAGCACCTCAATAGCCTTTCTGAACTGAGGGGCCCAGAACTGAACACAATACTCAAGGTGTGGCCTCACCAACGCAGAGTACAGGGGAAGGATCACTTCCCTGCTCCTGCTGGCCACGCTATTTTTGCCTTCCTTCTCCCCAAAGAAGTCGTCCAACAAGTCTAAAAGAGTGTATTTTCAAGATGTCCAAATTTAAATATAATATTGCCATCGTTTCCTTTGTCCCTACATCAGGCTCTGTTACTCTCAGCGGTTGCAAAGCATGTATAGAAGTAAATGTTCCAATTGCTCATCCATAACCTCATGTCCTGCTGCATTCAAGACCTGATGTAAGACCTTTAGATAAAGTCTGTGTTCTTGGGGAATTCCCTGCCCCATTATTACTACACAGCTCCACAGATTCCTGTCCCGCAGGCTCCGCTGTCCCATTCTAACGAGATGAATGCTGGCACTTACCAACCCCACTGAGTTGCGGGCGCTTAAAAGGGTCCAGTAACGCAGGTCTCACGTGGGGGTCACCAGATATGGGTGCTGGAAAGATGAGGATGCACTCTGCACAGGATTTCTCCCACTGACCGTTTTCAGCTTTCCCCTTTTATTCGTGTTCTCCTGTAAACAGCACCTGGTGTTGTCTTTTAGAATTCCCAGGATTGTCCTAAACCAGTGTTTTGATCGCACACACTCGCAGCATATAGTGGCTGTGTTCAGCCATGAGAGAAAAACACACGCTATCACGTGGAATGGTTTTCCACTCAGAAGCACAGCATTCTCTCTGTCAAAACACTTAGCCAAGGTCAGTCCTCCCTTTTGATGCCAATTAACCAAATGCAGGTGCAGAGTGACTCAGCTTGTTTTCCCACAGAAAGCCACAAAAAGTGGTAGAAAGTAGTGGAGTTTTAAACAGACAGCCATGTTCAACTGGATCTAGTGAAGGGAATTGCTGAGCTATTGTTATTTCAACTATTTTTATTTAGTGAAATTATGCTTCTATGAAGTTTTAGTCTTGCTCACAAAACTCATCTTGTGAAATTACCTTCTGTCATTAGAAGTTCTTCACTTTGACCCAGTACCTTTAAATCTCCTTTCCAGAGTTACTACCTTAAAAACCCTAGAACTTAGTACTACCTTTCTCGTTTAGTTTGGCTTTGAATTTTTGAATTCGAACTGGCTTTCTGTTGTTTTTACAGTAAATGAAATCTTAGCTTTGGTTACAATTTTAGGGTATTGAGAAGCCACTGTGGTAAATGTGTTCCTGTTTATATTGTGTAGCATAAGCTTAGAAAGTTTTAGTTTACTGACTCTTTTGAAACTCAAGTATTTGTACCAAATAAATGAATCTGATAGTTGAAGCCTCAGAAATCTCTCAACAAGTGAGTGACAGGCAGATATGGCTACTGGAGTTTGTGAAGAAATCATAATGAAAGGAAAGGTATTCGCTTGTGCCACTCATGGAATTACTTGAGACATCATGTCAGTTTGTATATTTTCATTTATGGGTGACTAGTATAAAGGACTTGATTGATTAGAGTAATTTGAAAAAGATTGATTCTGCCAGCAGTGTTGATCATCCAGTGAATATAAATAATTATGTTTGCATGTGAGATTTCAGTTAGACATGTTTGAAATCAGGGTACTGGGTAAAATGGAGCTCTTCTATTTTTAGCACAATAAACTGTTTCCTGACCCTACAATTGAATGAAATTACTTTTTACTGAAATATATTTGTTTGATATCTACTTTGTACATCTGTATTTACCTTATGTTGTAAAGTTCTCTTAAACTACTTGTGGAATTTTCATTTAATTTTGTAGGTAGATGTAACATAAGCACATGAACCTTGTGTGAACTGAAGGAATATTTGGAAAGTGGCTGGAGGTAACTGTGAAGAAAATGACGTATGTTTTGTTTTATGCAGGATATTGAACAACAAGAAAACCTTGATGCCAAAATATCTAGTTTAAGTGATGAAATTTCAACAGTTAAACGAGATATGGCTCAGATAAACAACGAAGAGCTGCTTCCCCTTCTGAAAGAGAAAGCACAACTTTTGACTGTGCCAGTGCTGAAAGCCCACTTGGATCATCAGATTGCTCAGCAGGATTGTTGCACTGCAAGACAAGATGAAATATGCAGGCACTTGATGAGACAGAAAACATCGTTTGAACTTATTGAGCTGGGCTGTAAAATGGAGATGAAGAAACACCAGGAGATCAGCTGTCAGCTTGAGAATTTGGTAGAATCTCTGAAGAAGAGCACTGATGAGTTGCAGCAGAGACTACAGGTGATAACTGAGCGAATTCAACCTGCAAAGCCAAAAAACACTATTAGTCCCGAGGATGGTTTCTCTTGCAGGTGAGTGTTATGGTCACTATTGAACTTTGACTTGCTTTGAAATAATATCGGGGAGAAGGCGGCTTAGGCAAACTAAGCCTTTCCTGTGGTGAAGTTCTTAGGTACTTGCTGTAGCTAATTAGAATTTTGAATTCTCAAGAACCGAAGTCTTCAAGATATGAAACCTGCTTCTTCCCTGTCCTTTGAAATTCTTTGCACATTTGCCTGAGGAAAACCTTTTCAATTATCAGTCTTTTTAATAGTGTTGAAGTATTCCTAAGCAATATCCAGAAAATAATGGATGTTCAAAGCCAAACCTGTCTTATATGGGGATCTAGGACCTCCTGAAAGCTACTCTGGAAGGATAGACATTAATAACAGTAATTTCTCAGTTTGATGTGTGGCCTCATCAGCTGAGCCGGCAAAAACCCGTGTGTGGTAGGAGAGAGGAATGACTCCTTCAGTCCATGAAATGTGTTCAGCTCATTTTTACTGCTTGATTTCTGCCTGGTTTGAGTGTCCTGTCACCCATGCAGGAGTCTGGTTTTTCACTGTCTAAGTAGTTAAGTCTCCCTGTAGCTCAGGTGGTACAGTCAGAGATGTATGCTGGGCTGCTGTTCTGTCAAGACTAGACCTTTTGATGAGGTGTATTGTATAATTACAGGTGTGTTACTGTCAGACTTTCCCTCCTTTAGAATGGAGCTTCAGGTGTTGGGGTTTTTTAATAATTGCTAAGTGATAGCAGAGTATGGTTTGACATAGTGAATAACTGCACTAATGAGGCAGCATTAATTTTGCTCCCATTGTGCGTTTGCATTGTCAACTTGTAACATTTTTGTTCGGGTTTATTATAAAGTCTCCAAGTCACTGAATGTTGTCTGACTACTTTTTCCACTTTTTTTTTTTTTGTTTTTGAAAAGGGAAGGGAGGTTGAAAGAGTTAAAAACTTTAAAGGGTTTGTAAGCAGAAGACACTCAAAAGAAACTCAGTTACTTTTGAAATATATCTCCTTTTACTAAAGCCAGTCTGATTTTATATTAGGGCTCAGCTCCTGAAGATTTTATTATGCAGAGGTGGTAGTAACACTTGAGCAAAGTTATCTGTGATCATATTGGCCTGTTCCTGATGCAGTGTAAGAGCACAGTTTGGTATAGCATGTAACACTGTCTTTTGCATGACTTGTAACTAGCTGGAGAATTTCTCTTCATAGGAAACAGGAAATACTCCAGTAAGCTTGAAAATGTTACAAAGATTGCTCTTATTTTTATTAGCCACTGAAGTCAGCTTTTTTCAGCACTTCAGAAAAAAAGCATCTTATTTTGCAGTTCTTGGAGTGTTGGGATATAGTTGGCAAAAGCACACTCAACTTCTAATTGCATTCATTTTGTACTTACTGTTACTTTGACATTTCATCGCTGCTAATTTAATATTGCAATATTTTGGATTCCTGTTAATCACTAGCTATATATAGATAGAATCATGAAATCAGTGGGAGATAGAGCAGTGTAGTAAGAGAGCCCTGAGCAATACTGCCTTTTACTAGTCCTCTGAATTCTAAGCATGGACATCTTCTCTTGACTAATGATGGTAGAGTGCTTAGGAAACTTAGAAATGCTTGTGTGTCTTACTTCACTTGTTACAGGCTATATGAGCTCCTGGAAGGAGGAAATAAAAAACAACAGTTATTTAAAACATACAAAAACCTGGAGCGGATGGCTGAGAAGTTAAAGCAAGACTGTGCTATGGTACAAGAGCAGATAGCAGCGTCTTCTCAAGAGCAGTCTCTCCTCTTGTCCAACCTGGAAAGAAATGTAGATGCCCTTCGTGATTCTCTGTATTGTGGAGGAAATCAGCTGCAGCTCCGTAGTCCGGTAAGCCCTTACTGAGTTATTAGAATTATTACATTAATGTGTGTCATGTTCTTTTACTGACAAAAATGTGGTGTGAAGGCTGTAGACACAAACTGTGTCCCCACTTGTCAGCAACAAATTTATTAGCATAATGATGATGGACTCTGTATTTACTTGTTCTTGGCAAATGTTGGATTTTTGTAAATGCTGGCAGGTAATAATTTTTTGTGTCTGAGCAAATTGTTGCATCTAACTTAATTTCTTTCAAAGGCATGTGCAGTCCTGTCAGTTTGTGGTGTGGGAAATACGTTGTCTGGATAGGGTGTCACTGGAAAACTCATTTAAATTTCTCTTTATTTCAGATAGGCTTTTTTCTCCCCTGTTACCTGTAACACGCCAGTAGTATGGTTTGGCCCCTTAAAAAGCCTGACTCATTTGGACAAAATAAGAATAACAGAATTTTGAAGGACAGTTGTAGTAGGACAATCCTGCTACACAGCTCTCAGGCGTTGGGTTTAGAACATCTTTTAAATGGGAATAGGGTTTGTTAAATGCTACTTGTTATGGTTTTTAAATCATTGTAGATACTTCAAAAATGCATTGAGGGAAATCTCCTCTTATGTAATACTTCCTTGGTTAATTACATAAAAATAAATTTAACTTTCATCTGTCAAGTGAATTCACAACATATAGAACAGTTTTTATTAAAAAATGAAACTGTAATTGGAACAGTACATATGTAGGGACTATACATTATTAAATCAAATGCCTGTCTATTGACTCAAATTACCTCTTAAAACATAGTGACATCTCCTTCTACTGCTACTGTTTCTCAAGGAAAGTAATTCTTTTAATAAGGAAATAAAGTGTAAGTAGGTGACTAGTCTGCTTATACTGAACTATCATAAGAATACCAGTTGGGAAAATTGTAGCTGGTAATTAATGATTTAATTTTAAAATTGATTTGGCTTTTTTGTTGTGGTCTCTTTTTCCCTTTTAAGATTTGACTAGCAATGAAGACTTTTAATTGATTGAAAACGTCATTCACTCATCTGTCTAGGTCAGGTTTTATGGTTTTAACTCATCTGGTCGACAAGTAAATGAAATTACATCTTCATAACCTGATGTGAGTTCTGTTACATGAAGCTCAAAAATTGAATGGAATCCCTTACCACCTTTGTTTCTGTTTTTTTGTGATTACTTTTCAATTGCAAATAAAAGTGGCTTCCCAAAGCAAAAAAAAACTTTTGTATTTCTAGTTCAGCTAATGTATTAATAGTATAAAAATATTGATTTTTTGTCTTCTATTTTTTGTTAGGAACTTACTGAGCTGTTTCCTCAACTGGAATTTAATGTAAATAAACTAAAGCAACTCCTTGAGGATCTGGGTGCTGATCTGAAGTTGAAGAGAAGCATTCTAGAGTCCAATAAGCTGCAACAGATGGAAAGAGAGTTGTATGTGTATTTTTTCAAAGATGAAGATCACTTGAAAGAGATGGTAGAGAAACTTGAGCAGCAGTCTCAGGCTAAAACCAGTGGTCTGGAAGATGAGAATTTCACAGCCAATGGAGTTCCTAATGTCTAAACTTCAATGTACTCCTAAGAAAGGAAAAAGTTAGTGTAAACTGTCTACAAGTTTGTGGAATAATAAACATTAGCTCGTCCAGGCTGACACCTGTCACTGCAGTGTGTTTGTTACCATTGGATTGGGTGCTGCTTTGCAGGCTTTGGCATCTGCCTGCTAAATTCAATCTCAGTTTTGTCAAAGCTCTTGGATACAAAGTAATGCATTGTTTAATTGAAAGAATTATGTTCAGGCTGCCCTTCTCCTGGCCTGTAGGTTCATTTCTGCTGCACACAGCGTAGCACCAAAAGGAACATTTCATACCCTTAAGTTTTCTTGCATGCTGAGAACCTTTGATTGTGAACCACAAAATAAATGTGGAGGAGGCATTCCAGATTTTGGAACATGAGTGTAATGTGCTCATAGTGAAGAGGAGAGTTCTCCAAGGCAGATATTCCATGATTGTTTCCCTTACAGTTCTCCTAAGAAGATTCAATTGTCTTAAAAATGTATTGGAATATGTACCAGAATCTGTTTTAAATACCAAGACCATCTGTTTTAAGACCATTCCAACATCTCTTAATTTAACTTATGGCCTGTCTTCTCCATTGAAACCAGTCCATACTTATACTGGGCTTGTCAAAGAAGAATAATTTTCAATTTGTCTTTTGGACATCTGAGTTTGCTCTGTAATTTATAATGATAGACATTTCAATTCAGAGTGCTGATACTTTCATACTGCTGCTTTCATGTGCATTGTTAGCCTGTTTATCAAATTTTTGTATAGCTTCCTAATATACCAATGGAACTAAATAGGATTTTATAGTATGATAACTTGAAGTCTTTTATATTTTGATGGGATTAGCTGTGCTTGCTTTCAAGCATTGTACATATTGATGAAGGTTAGTATTTCAGCTTTAACTTCAGTAACAGTAGTCTTTAAACTGTTTTGATGGCAGACTTTTAACTTTTATGTGAGCATAACTTATTTTGAGATGTTTAATTTTTTTTAGCTTACTGGTTGAGTGTCTTTATGTCTGGATTTCATGCTGCTAAACTCTGTACTTTGTATTTATTATGAAATGCCAAACTCTATAAATTCAGTTCAGTGTGGTCAATATTTATGGTGAATCTGTGTGTTGGTTTTAGGCCTGTTCTCAGGCATAGTGTCTTGTTTATATTTAGTCTGCTGGGTTCTCACTTTGGTGTGCCCCTGGGGCTGTGACTGCTGCTTCCCACCCTGAGAAATCAGGGAGCACTTTAACCCCGTGTAGGAAAGAAGTGTTGCTCTTAATTATAAAAGTTAGGAGGAGCTGTGCGTGGGGAAAGATTACATTTCTGACTCCTGGAACATCAGGGAAAAGAAAGCCATTCTGCCTCTCTCTCACTTTCCTTCACACACTTACTGGTTTGAGCTAGATAGATACAGCCAGTTCTAATGCAGCAGGATGGATGTTCCTCTTTGAATCGAGATACAAATGTTTGCACTTGTAAGTATTCAAAGCTGCAGTCTGCCTGTGGTCTGGAGCTAAGAAAAATATTTCCATGCAAGCAAAGGAACTATTGTTTGCATGATGGTTAAACTTGACAGTCTACTCCTGATCTGGATTTAGTGAGAAGACCAGAGTAGCAGGACTCCACTTGCTACCTTGTATAGGAATAATTTAGTAAACAGCAGTTTTTGGTGGAGTGATTGACTTGGACAGCTTGGATCCTTTAAGTGTTTTTAAAATGTTGGATATTTCTTCTGTGTTTTTGTTAAGCTTTATGCATTCTTCTAGTCTAACTGTAAAATAACAAGGCATCAGTATGGACACCATTATTTGTGATTCTCCAATGTGTGTTGTATCTAAGAATTTTGCAAGTATTTTGTATGTATTATAGAATATGGCCAGGTCAACTGGAAAAGCTACTCTTTTTCAGAAAAGGGTAAAGTTTAGGACAACAGTGGTGGTCAAAGCTTGTAGAGACTGTAGATGTTGCTGACCAGTTTCTCAAACTGACAAACTGTAGTATTTTAAAGTTACTTGTATATAACAGTACTTGAGTGCCTCAATTATACAAAATTTAGGAAACAGAGGTCTTTTATGATAAGTATTTTCTGAAACAGCACATGATTAATGGTTGTATACCATGCTAGTAATGTGTGTTTCTTTCATCTTGTGTTGGCTCAATTTTGGCAGTTACTTGACAGTTGGTTGTTTTTTTCCTAATAAAATCCAAGAACCAATAAAGTAAGTGTATGCATGTGCTAGACTGGTTTAAAGATACTGAGGGGGAAAAGCATCTCAGACATACATCAAATTCTTGATTTATTTGCTAGATTTTTTTTTCTGGTACAAATTAGCTGTACTTAAGAGTGCTGATTTTTTTATTAATGTATTAAAACACTGTTTCAAAGATACCAGTCTTTAAAAATTATTACATTTTTATTTACAATATGTTGCTAACAGACATGTCTGGGAGGAAATGTAATTTTGTATTGAGAATGAATGACTGAACACGTTCACTATGTTTGCAGCAGAATATAAGTGAGGATTGTTTGTGGCTGTGATTAATTGATAATTTGTGTGTTCTGCATATAGGTTTAATCTTAAAAATGGAGCAGTACATGTACATAGGATGTGAGATTTCTAAAGTGCCTTTATCTGATACTGCTCAGAGGATTATGACAGCTCTGCAGTCTATTCCTGTAGAAGTTCAGACAAACAAAGAAAATAACCAGAGTGAGTAAGTCTTAGCCTTTTTAAGTGTTTTTCAGTTGAAAAATTGAAACACAAACAAACAAAACAATATCAAACCTCTAGTCTTTATTTTTAAATGGGGGAAAAAAAAGGTGAGGTTTTAGGATTACAGGTTTAGAAAAGGAATTAAGCTGTAACTCTGACATTTTCTGGGACTTTTCTGATTAAATAATGTTATGTGAGTGCAAGGAACAGTACCCTCAATTTAATTTTTTTTTCTTTCTGTTCCTGTGCGATGTAGAAGTAGATGAGAATTTCAAACTGTTACTTAACTAATACACTTAAATGCAATAAATTAGATGTATACATGAACATGACTCTGCACTAGATCTTTGAAGATCACTAGAGGTACTAGGAGCTCACCGGGTGGCCCTTGAACTCTCCAGACTCATGTCTGTGCTTTAAACACGTGTTCATTAGCAATGCACTCCTTGTGAAATTCTAGGAGGAAGAGTGAACAAAAGTCCCAGTGAAAGAGCAAATTAGGTAATGATACAAGTGCCTCAGCAGATCTTTCTGTTGGGCAAATCTTACTCAGAACATTGTGGATGCTAGAGAGGTTTTGCAGGATGTAATTTTTTTTCTCAATTCTCTGCATGTCATAGTCTGTCAGTCTGGTAGCTCTGGAAGGAAGTAGATAGAAAGTTAGAGTTTTGCTCAGTTTCAGTTGTCTGTTTTCTCCTGAGAACTAGATCCTGGAATATTATTTAAATGATGGGATTTGTTCTTGTGTACATCATGGTTTTTGCAGCCTCAGTTTTGTATAAATTATGGTTCAGGTCCCTCTTTCAGTAGTAAAGTATTGGATCAGTGGAGCCTGGTGGTGCAGCAGTGACAAGGGTAGGAGTTCCTTGTCAGTCAGTGATACACATTTGAAGAAATAAGTTCATTTTAAAATGGTACATTGTACATGGTTCATCTAGGATCAAAACCCAGATGATTTTAAACAAAATCAGATCTCTTTTCAGCCTTGGTTTAATTGCCATTCTGCTTCTCCTGCTACCTTGTAATTTTCCCTGCCTTAATTTTTCTCAGTAATATTTTTTCTCTTAGACTGGGGAAGTCTCCGTACTGTGCAATAACACAGTTTTGTTGTCTGCTCTTGATCCATTCACTCTCTCTCAAGGTGTAAAATTGCAGATCCTTTTTTTTTTTTGGAACACCATGAAGGTGTCTGGTATCTTTGACTAAATGAGCTTGTGGTCGTCTTTGTAGTGCTGCTAAATCCCTGTTTATTGGGGAGTGAAAGAACAGTATAAGCATTTTGTAGCAGCAGGTCACATGAAAAGATTTTCTTGCTCTTGTTTTCCATGCAGTAATTACTCAACAATTGTTTGAAGTGTACAGGTTTAACAGACCTATTTGAATTGCTCTTAGGAAATTGCATATCTATCTATGTATCTTTATCTATATAGCTTTGGTGTGGATCTGGAAAGAAGAAAAAGTTCACCTCTCTTAAAACCAAACAGAAACCTGCCATGTTATTCAGTCTGTTTCAAACTGTATTGAACTGTGTTTTATTGGTAGATTTTTATATTCTACTTAATGGAAAAATTGTTCGTCTTTTAGAAGGTAAATATTGGGCTCAAATAGAACAAAGATCCACAATTTTGACCTAGTTGGTGAAATTCTGTGGTTATCTTGGCAGTGGAACTGTAATGTTTCCATCAAGGCTTAAGGAATTGGAGGGCAAGGACAGGTTTCTGCTGCCATCTGGTGGTACTTTGCCGTAATTCAGAAATCAGAAATCGGAAGTTGCATCTCTCTTCGATCTGTCATACTGATTGCTGTGTGCTGGAGGAGAGAAATGTAATCCTCATCATCTTCTCTGGAGGGTGGATTTGTCAAGAAAAAGTATCTTGCTGTGAAACAATTAAAAGCACTGAATGTAAACTCAGATACTATCGTTCTTAATTTATAATCTTATTGTTGTAGAAAGTGTCAAGAAAACCAAACCTAAAATGTTTGAAGCTACAAATACAGCTATGCCATGTTGGCTGTTCTAACAGCTCAGATTAGAAGTCTGAGCTGGAGATAAATGGCTGATTATACACTTACACCAACGTGTAATGATAAGCTTAGTTTCTTCTGGAAAAGGCTTTTTTTTAGTATTTTAAGTACAGGGTCTTGATTTGCCTAGACAAAAATTTTTAAAAACAGTTTTAGTAAATAGAAATAGGTCACTTTATGCTTTGTTTGATGTTGGTCATCAGTATGTGAGATTCAGAAAGTGTCTTGCTGCTGGTAATGCAAATTGGTGGCTGACAACATCAGTTTATTGTTGTACTCAGTATGGGGGGACAGAATACATACTTTGCCCATGAGGTGACTTTTGGCTGGGTGTGTCAGACCCAGCATGGGTGACCATCCCGCTTCTTCTGGAGCTGGTATCACCTTACCTTTCTGTCCGTTTGTAGGTCTGAATTTCCCCTTGCTCTCTGTTCTTGTCTGGTCTTACAATACCTGTTCTATTGCAGGATGAACAACGTGAAAAAGTTCTCCCCTGCAGGGTTCGCTGTAGGGCACGATATATTAAAGTCATATATGTAAATAGTGCTTTATAGAACAAAGTTATTGTGGAATAATACTGCTTAATTCCAAGAAAACAGTTAAAATGTTTGTAGGGTTTGGCTGGTTTTTTTTTCTTCATGCCCACACCACAAGCTTTATTTTGACCAAAATGGTTTGTGTTTTCTTGAAAGAAGGAAATACGCCTATTTGTGGAATTACAGCAATGCCTCTTCTGAGCACCATGGAAAATGTTTGTATGCTTTATAGAGAATTTGAATTAATTTTTTCTTAATGGTGACAAAGAAGGCTTTTGCATATGCATATTTCAGAACTTGCAGGGCCCTTTTAAGCATGAATGATATTAATTTGATAAAATGGTTGTCGAGGAAAATTTTAATACAGTTGGTTTAGGTTTGGTAAAAATGGCAGTAATAGTACTCTGTATGTAACCTAAGTTATGTGCACTGCTTACAGATTCATTTGTATTGTAAATTGTTTCTTCTTTTTTAAAGGTATAGAGAAGACAAAGGAAAATAAAGTAGGTGATAAGGATGCACATCTGAGAAATGAAAAGGCAAGCATTCAAGCATTTTGTAAGATCGAAAACCACTAAAAGCAGTCTTTTTATAGCAGGTTTGAAGTTACACACTGGTTCTTCCATAAGAAGCTTTATCACGATATGTTTTATACACTCATAGTTCAGGTAGCTTTTCCTGTCTTATTTTGCACTTGGCATATATTTACCCATGAGAGTCTTGACCCCACTTCTGTTACTCTTTCCACAGGAAGTTGTTTTTTTATGACAGAGTGATCAGAAATGAGGTTGCCACATTCAGGGTTTAAAAATGTTCTCAGACTTCTGTCACTGGACAACCGGTAGCACATAATCATAAAGTGAGCTGATTCAGATGAAAAATTACTCTGTACTAGGAAGTTAAATGTTGGGTTTAATCATCTCTCTCAATTTGGCTTGATGTGCATGTGAGTGAGAGCCAGGGCAAGAGTGGGAGTGGGAAACTGCAGCAGCCCCAGCTCAGGCCCTGAGCGTAAAATCCATTGGGTCGATCGATGAGTTGCAGATGCTGCAAATGTACTCCTGTCCCAGCTGCAAGTTTCACAGCCTTACTTACTCTGACTCTGGTGCATGTTGCACACTTCAGCAAGTCCATTCAGGCTGCTCAGGATGCAGAAAACTGATTTCTTTTATGGAATGGGATAGCTTCCTCCAAATTACATTGGCTTATAGATGCTCATGCAGCTGTGGGTGCACATGGGTAGTAGTGGAACCCCTTTTTGTGATGATGAGATGCTAATTTTGACTAACTGCATCTAGTGAAATCTTCCTACGTTGACATAAATGATGAAACTACATCCTGGGAGTTTTCTCTACTTCCAGCCACGTCATTATTTCTAAGAGGAGATCAGTTCCTTGCGGAAGCTGCTGTTTCTCCCTGTATTATTCTGACTGGATAATTAAATTGCCTCGTTCTTATTTTTTAACCTTTAAAAGAGAATTGCTTATTCCTGATTTTATAATTACTGGAGTGTCATAATTCAAATTCTGCTGTGTTAAATGATAAAACTATTTGCAGTTTGACTGGAGAATACACTTGAGCGAATTAGTTGTCTTTCTATGGCTCTTAAGCATATTATTTTTCCACTTCTGGTAACTTTATAGTGTCCACTTTTTGATTATTATTGTCTAAGCCCATTTAATTTGTCTTCATTGAGAACAGCCACTATTCATTTTGGTAGTAGCAAAAGCTTAATTAGCTTCCTTTTTCTGTTCACTTAGAACCTGTAGAGTTGATCCTGTGAAGTATGATCTCAAGCAGTCTTAAGCCTTTTTCATCCTTTGACTCCGTAGTTCGAAGGTTTGGGTATATGAGAACTGGGTTGAGGAATATTGCAGAACTGTAAAAACCCCCCAAACTTATTGACTTTGTCATTGTGGCTGGTTTAATTTATCCAGATTGGATAGAGATGGACAGTATCCTTTGATCAGTGAAAACTGTCATCTTGGGAAATGGAGGAAGCCCTGCACTGCAGTAACTTGTGGTTCTTTTGAAGTGAGGAAGCCTTAGTTTTTGGAATGGTAATGACAGCAGAGGTACTGAAGGAGACTGGGCTGGGAGAGCTGAAAATAGAG